CTTTCACCGGAGCAGTTCACTCTGGTTTAACGAGTTTGAGCCCATTTACCACTAACTGTGTTTACCATCTTATTTCAGGCTTCATGATTTCTGCTCAATCACAGCCTGCTGGTTTTAGCATTTCTTGGATAAAGCGACAGTTAGATTTACACTTTTTCAAGTTCTTCGCTTTAAAACTCTCTCAAAGGAAATGTATGAATTAATTCAAGTACTGAATCCAATCTTATGGGTCCCCTTTTTTTGGTCTCCTTCAGTGTCCCTTTCTGACAAATGGACCAGTTATCTGTATTAAGTTTCCAAAAACAGAACCAGTCTAAAACAGTGCTGAAGTATCTGTTGACCTTTACAGTTTAAAGCTGTGGTTACAAAACCTGAAATCCCATTCTCAGATAACATTAAGAGATGATTGTTTTGTGTTTCAAACAGTCAAATTAATCTGTTTCAGGGCTGCAGGATAGAAATTGGATACAATAAAGTGACTTGTTTTGACCCCTCTCAGTTTCCGGAAACCATCAAGAGATAAGCTGAAGTTCTAGTAAATGCCATATTACCACTCACTACAGTATCAATCTTCTTTTTGCTTTTTCACTATTGTCCGTATAAAAAGGGAAGAATTGTCATAAATATAATCATGATGAGAATATTTGTTCTGTGGCTGTTGTTAGTTTGATTACTTCTTGTGTGGGACTACACAACATATACGCACAACAGTAACTTAAAGGCAGGGTCGGTCATTTTCAAAAACTATGATTTTGAAGGTAGCATTCCCTCAGTGCTCCGTCTGCATCCAGCCCCTCACCTCTGTGCTCCCTCTAAAGCCACGCCCCCTCACTGACATGCACGAGCGGACCTCAGCATATCGCTTTCATTGTGTAGAAATGACGTCGTCTCATGTCTCAATCAGCGGTATGTAAACTCACAGTATAAACTCCTAAAGTCATCGGTGACGCGCTTTGAGTGTGGGCGAGAGAACGCAAGGGGTAGAGAACGAGCAGGGAGACAGGGAGGCGCCTGATTGGTTCCTCAGATTGGTACCTCGTGGCAGACATTGGTTGAAGTCTTTACATGCTGACAACTGCTACAGATGACAGATTTTCTTCATTCCTTTTTCAGAGAACACAAGTTATTAATTTCTGTCAGGACCTAAAAACAACTTCAAAGAAAATCTTAAAAAAGTGTGTCTGGAGAAAATGAGCAACCCTGCCTTTAAGATGCTCAAAATGACACATGATGTTCTTTTACAACTAAGGACTGCACAATGTGTTCATGACACTTGCCTTAGTTAATATACATTAGGGTAAGGTCCTTGACAAATGTTCAATTTACCTGGTTACAAATTTCAATTAGCATGAAGTCAACCATGTGGAGGTGTTGGGGTTCTTGGGTTCAGATCAGATGCCCGTAAAGTTTAACAATAAAGAACACAATCTTTGGTTGTCCACATTAAGGCCATACCAAGTAGATATTTCCATGTTGTAAGGGGTTCCTGAGCCAAAAAGCTTGGGAACCACTTTTTTTTTTATACAGTCCACATACATGATTGAAGAGAAAGGTTGTGCAGGTGCCACTTGGTATGAGCCTAATAGTTTCCTACAATATCCTCGTTGCCTCCATTCCTTTGCAGATTAATATTTCATGCATTTGTTGAAAGTGCATTCACTGAAGGTTTTCTGCGCCGTGAGTGTGACCCTTATTTTGAATTCAGGATCCTGTCAACATAATAAAAAGGTTATGCCGCATGCTTTCAAGTAATACAAAGCGTGTTATTTCTAGAAGGAGGAGGAGTGCTGTTAACATTGAGAATTCCTCGACTAGCTGTGTCTCACCCACAGCCTCAGCTCCAGCTCTGCTTTCATCGCCTCTTCTTTGTTCCTTTTTTTAATAATAAAAAAAAAACAGCAACAGTGGGCTAAAAAAAAAACAACAACAAAAAAAAACAGCCAAGAATTTTAATTTCTACGCTCTGTTTGTCTCTCCCTGTCTGGCCATCACTGGCACGCGTTTAAATCCCTAAACGCCAAACGTCCTCACAGTGCTTTTCTCCTGAGTGTCCCCGTGTGTGTGTGTGTGTGTGTGTGTGTGTGTGTGTGTGTTTGTTCTCTAGAGACAGAAATGTACGATGTGAACAGCTGCTTGTCCCCAAAGAAACTAAAGCCACCAGAGAGACAGCCAGGGTGCTGCTTCATTACACTCTGAAACACATCTAATGACCTGATAAGGCCTTTGACTGTGGCTGAAGGTGTGCATGCACTAAGAAGGAAAAAGATTCAATTTAAAAATTGATCTACTCACATTTTACTTTTTTACTTTTTGGTGAACATTTTGATATCTGGAATTTTAAATTAAAATCATTTTAACTGCTACATAAAAAAAGATTGAATGAGGCATTAATTAAAAATATGCTTCTCTACTTGCATAAAAAAAAACCTTGAAAATGAATTTTTTAAAAAAGAGAGTTTTCTGATTCAAACGAAAATGTCAATTGTTTCAAGCCGTTGTTTTCTCTGATTACATTAGAGATCAAAATTCAAGGCACAGTGCACACTTTCTGTTGTCTGAAGCAGTGGTTCTCAACTGGGTTAGCCTCAAGACCAGCCACCGACTCCTGAATGAGAAATCGTGACCCAAATTTCTGATATTTTTTAGCCAATGAGATTTATTTAAAGTCTTTATATGTGATTTTTCACACTTAAATGTAATATAAATCAAGTATATCCTCTGAAAATAACTCTGTGAGTCATGACTGTCTACAATGGGTGTAACACCCGAGTCCCACTGTCTGTGATGTTTTCAGAGTTTTCAGAGTCCTATCTTCACTTTGTTTACATCGCCAGGACGGCCGGCTGACTCCTCCCCTCGTGTATAAAAGCTGTTTAATTGAGGGACTAGAGAAAAGAAGAATAACATACTGTACTCACTGCTTAACTGTGTTTCTAGATCACGCTCATTTCAGGTAAATTTACATGCAGTGTGAAGATACCAGCAGAATAAAGATGCACCGCAAGTTGTTTTGGTTTCGACATCTACTGGATTAAAAAAATCGCATATAAAGCCTTTAATAAAAAATTGTGCAGTTTGAACCTCAAGCTTTACAAAACATGTGAAAGAACAAAGATACGGAACAAAATAAAACACATGCTATAAAAGCGCTTCAAAGACTTTTTGACACATTTTCTCACACAATCGTGACGCGCCGAAAAAACAGCTCCGCAACCCGCATTTGGATCCCGGCCTTCAAGTTGAGAACCACTGTTCTGAAGTATGACTGTATAATGCCAAATGTGTTCACCTCAACACAACTTAATGCAAGATGAAAAAAGTAAAGAGACGCGGAAAATCATTAACACAACTGATCCTTCAAGAGAGGGCTCAACACTTGAAAAAACAACACGATGTGGAGTTTATGCAAGGTGAAAAAAAAAAGTCCATCACACTCCTCTGCAGCTGTTTCTCACTCCAGTAAAACCTGGTCATGTCCCCTCAGGGAATCAAGACTGATTGGTAGAATTTAATGATACGCCTGATAGGCAAAAACATCCAGGAGCTCTCCACACGTTTACTTGCAATTTGCAAACTAATTAGAAGTTTGGATGTAACTGCTTTCAGCTGTGTGCACCCCTACGCGTTAGAAAGGTGTTTGCACATTTCTTCCTCACAGTACCTTTTTGGCTGTTCTGTCGAGACAAAGATTCAGCTCGTTACCCTGCCTCAAAAAGAAATCTCGGCTGTGAAAAATAAAACTGATAAGAGTAGCAGAGCACAGATAGATGGTACCAGAGTTACTTCACTCAGACTCAGTTATGGAGGGCTTACAGTAAAATCCAAACACATACATACAGTGCTTATGGGGAGACATTCAGTCAGTGCACACTTTGTATAAGATTCCTGATAATTATTAAATAGATAATGGGTATTTACAATTTATGCTAAGCTAACATTAACTAAATAACCCATAGAGTCCATGTCTATTATAGCAAATGTACATCTACAATGTATTTGTAAGATATTTACATAACATTTATGTGGGTTTAATACAAGAAGAATAATGACATAGAGTATAGAAAAAAAAAAACAATTGATCGGTTTTTACTATAATCCCCAAAAGGCTAACTCAAACTCCTAATTTTCACTATAGGCACATACAAGGCTAGCAGGGGTGTAGGCTTCAGCCTGGTTCATAACGAAGGACCACTTAAGAGTTTGGCTGACACTGTTTTTACTAGGTCATGTTTTTTGTGCTTTGTTTCTTATACTAGCTAACAGTGCTTTGTGTGTTTCCCTTTAAGAGGCAAAAGAAATGTTGAATTCTGCTCTCTTGTGCCCTGTGTGGCTCACGACTCAGACCTTAAGTCCCAGCTGTAGGGCTTGTAAAAAGTACCTGCAGGGATAAATCTCACACACAAAGAATTGAAAAATAAGTCTCAGACTAAATCTTTGTCCTCAGCAATGATTGTTTCCCCAAGGATAAGCTCTGTGTCTGACCTCATGTTTTTGCTTCTATCTGTCTTTTCCTTCTATCCAGAAGTTTCTCTTTGTTTCCCTACAGTTTGTATCGTCTCTAAATGCTTAAAACCACTCCTGGTCTCTCGTAAGTATTCCTGCACCTTTTCTCTTGTGTTGTTGTGCACCAATAGTCCTCTATACCTCAAGCTTTAACCTCAAGATTTTTGTGCAATTCATTTGTATCAGGAGTTACCCGCTCAAATCACTGGAGAGAGGTTGATCAAAAACTAATTAACGAAAGATAGTGGGTCCAAACATGATATGATTCAGAGTAAAAAAATGCATTTAAAACTTTTTTTTGTCAAAAACTGACAGTTATGCCAAATGCAGATATGCTGCAGGGTGTTTCATTATAGAGACTGAGTTTCAACAGTAATACCCAATTCAAATCAATCCAGCAAATCCAATTATAGATTTTTATGGTAGAGCATTATGTCAAATATGAGGATTTAAGTGTTTGATCCATTTATCAAATGAATTGAAACAAGGTCTTGAGGCCATATAGTGCTAATCCTCTTACTGGATATGCCCTTCAATAAAAATTAAAAAAAGGCTGCCTCCACTTTCCTTGCCCTTTGGTCTTGCATGTCTGCACCTGTCTTGTCCCACTCTTATCTCTGAATTTTATTCCCCCTACCTCCCTCCTCTTCTTCTGTCTCCTAGCTGTAGCCGAGGTTTTCCATCTCGTGGCGGTATCTCAGCTCAGACACTTTCGCTTTGTGCTGCTTGCTCTCCAGGTGCTGTCTGAAGTCCGTCTCCTGCTCGGCTCCGCAGTTGCACATGGAGCAGTAGAACTGCCCGCTGGGAGTGACGCACATGGCCAGGTCCCTCGGGATGCGCTGCCTCGGTCTAGGGTTGTAGTACGGCCCTGGGGTGGGGGGAAGAGATGAGTCAAGTAGACAGGAATGAAAATAAGTTAATTGTAGCCACTCTTTAAGAGACTGGTTTATTCTAGATTTATCTATCGAGACACCTGGACAATAAACGTGGTGAAAGAATATATGAGATAAAGAGCTGACACTTATTAGTGTTTTACGAGCAACAATGTTTCTCCGTTTGATTATTCCATTAATTATTCTATCGGAAAATTGTCAAAATATTATAAATATTAAAGTTGCAAAGTTTATTTTTTTCTAAGTTATAAGAACCAGCACTAGAGCTTAAGATGATTATGTTTCACTAGAGTCTTGCGTGTGTGTGTGTGTGTGTGTGTGTGTGCGTGCGTGTTCAAGCAGTAGAAAAACGAGACGAAGATAAGGGGAGAGATAAAAAGACAGTGAGGAGGCAAGTGTAGAAGAGAGAGAGCAGCTATTTTTGGGTTTGTCCGTCAAGACACAAAAAATGATTGAATCAGCAGAACTTTGAAGTGTGTGCGTGTAAGGAAAGGAGATCAAAAAAGGGAGAGGAGGGAGGAAAGTGAATTGGCTCTACTTTAGGACTTGTCCTGTTTCATCTTGAGCCAAGGGGATACTGTTATTTTGTCCTTGGAAAAAATAGAGAAAAGAGATAGTTGTTTGACGTCAGCAGAAAAGTCTGACGTTACCTACTCTGTATCTGTTTTCACACACGCTCAGGCAAAAGCAGACTCTCCAACAATCACATGGAAACACAATGAAGAAGCTTTCAGTGGAAAGTGTTATCTAACCTGCTTAATGGTGATAGCAGCTTTTTTTTTCAGATTCTCCAAAACGGGAGGAGGCTGAGGATTTTATGCTGCAAAAATTGTTATTTAAAAACTTTGAAATAAAGTTTAAATTTCAGAAAGGAGCTTTAGTTTTTCAGCAGAAAGCAAATTAAGCCTTGTAAGGCTGTCAACCAAAATGCATCTACTGATAGAGAGTTGTTATTTTTTTTATTTTATTTTATTTTTTTTTTTAATTTTTTTTAAATTATTTTTTAATTTTTATTTTTGCATTAAGGAGAGCTTGGAACACAAAAATGCCATTGCCTGATAACTTGAACTTGAACTTGAACTTGAACTTGAGTCATGATTCCTATGTTTATTTTAAATTCAAATTTCCAAATGCAATCTTTTTATTCCTTAATCCTAGGAAAATACTTTTTATTTTGATGAAAATACTGTTTATTTTTTCTTGGGTTTGGTTGCACATTCAGTTAAACTATCATGTTTGGTTTCCAGCATGAAGGAAGTACGAGCGTTTGTTGTTGTTAGTTTGTATTTTTATTGAAAAAACAAAACAAAATAAATATAAATTGTCACCTCAAACAAAGGCAGCTGTTCCCTAATCAGATTCTATATTACCCCTATCATATATTTTACTAGTATACAACTATATTACCCTCATACAGTAATATATTTACTATGACTGATAAATAAGTTTAGCTGCTAACAGTGCTAACAGTAGCTTTTTAGCATATTGCTATATTCGATAATTTTGTGTTTACATCTAACACCACACATATGTAGCCACTCTTTGAGTCCATTTGATTAGTTGTTGATTCGTACTAACAAACACAAATCATGTTGCACCCTTTTCTTTGTCCAGTTTTAAATTGACTGTTCAAAAACTGAGCAGGCGTTTACAACCAGCATCCACTTGGTGAATGTCTCGACTCTCTCTGTATGTATTAGCTTACCTGTCATTGAGGCAGGAAGCTGTGGGCTGCGGCGGTTTTTCACAAGTCTGTACTCACTGCAGTCTTTCCTGCTTCTTCTCGGGGCCGCCTCATTGTTTCCGTCCCTGAAACAGGCAAGGCTAGCATCAAAATGACTTTAGTTTGCTACAGAAGTTTAGCAAGACACACACCCAGCTTGATGTTTTAAGCTTGTTTTCTTTGGTAATAAAGACACCCAAGAGACTAGCTGTTTACTGTTTATTTTTTTGGGCAAACTTAAATTATACAATTAGAAGGTGGAGCCAGAATTAGCTTGTAAGCTTAAAAGTGGAGACAAATACTGAAGACCTATTGATCTACAGTGGAAAGTTACCTCATTATTCAAATACTCAAAATTGTCAAGGCTTCTTCTTTAATCATTTTGCAGCTTTAAAAATATACATCATGGCTTTAGCTGAACAGATTTGCAATACAAATGCAAAGCTTATACAAAAGCTCTTTATGCTACCAAATGTTTCAGTACTCAAACCTACATGTTGTTGGAGTTCTGCTGGGCCTCAGCGAGCCGTAGTTTCTTGGCGTGGTTCTTGCCCTGGTAGTGGGCCTGTGCAACTGCTGGTGAACTGAAGGAGGCATCACACAGCTTACAATAGTCATTCTCTGTGGCCAAGATGACCCGGGTTGCCCCCTTATAGAGTGCCTGAGGACACAGGACAAAGCAATGCAGTGTTTGTGCTGAGAGAAGTAACGGAGTAAACGCTGAGAAAAAAAGAAATGAAATGAAAAAGTATTTCCTGCAACGCTTTTAGGAGTTTTGTGGGAAAGCACGCAGATCAAAGTAATGAAATCATGAAAGAAATCACATCACATGTGCGTACGTCCAAGGTTGGCATCGTATAATAAAGTCTGTTAATAAATATTTGTTTTGGTCTCTACCAATCTCTTTTCAGAGGCTTGATGCCCCTTTTGAACTTTGCCCTCTGCTGTTTGTTGCTGAGTAGGTAACATGCAGCTGTAGCCTAAGCTATCACATCATGATATTTCTACAAAATCTTAAAATTTGCAAGCTGGAAAGATAATTAAATAAACAAAAAGCCCCTACAAGCCCTAATGAAGTATTAAGGGACTTCAGATTCAACAAAAAATTGTTTAAGACTATGATAGACACAGTTCACAATAAAAAAAAAAAGAAGGAAATAAATAGCTTCTTTCAAATGTGATCAAATTCAGCTATAATAAAAAAAAAATTCTGGAAAAAATAATTCAGTTTTGTCTCCTATTAGTAATTAGATGATGTTCCTCTGATTATGTAAACTTTCTTTTTCTTTTCTCATCATGTTTCTGATCTCCAATTAAACATTTTTAGTTATCGAGAATTTTGTTGTACCAGCTTTAATTTAAGATTTAATTTAACTCTTGGTAACGGAGACAATCAAGACAGAGGGAGTCGGTATTTTTTGATCAGTACAGCCAGATTGTGTCGAGATAGAATTGTTCAGTGGTGTGCGATTTATGTTAGTTTCCACTATTTAGATAAACATACTCTGCAGTTCTCCACAAAAGGAAATGACCTATATAAGCACATTGACCACCTTGCGCAGCAGTGCAGTACACCCACTTTCTCAACTAAAACTGTAACATTTAGGTAGGCGGGTGCTGGATTTTCTAGGTTTGGTCCTGACCTGTCTGCCTGCGTCACTGTCATTGGATCCTGAGCTGAGCCCGTCTGGCCGGCTCCCTCAAGAACTTCTGGGATCCTGATGGCTGGAGGCTGCTGACTGCCAGCGTAGAAATTTCTCAACTTTTTACCGTGATTCTTCCCCTTAGACAGATAAAGAAATAAAGATTTTGTACATGCACGTAGATTGATATTCAACATGTTCTGTGCAGGTATGAAAGTGGACTTCCTCTGACCTGGTAGTGAGCCTGTGCCTGCTGTGCAGAGTTGAGGGTAACATTGCAGAGTTTACAGTACAGAGGTTTACACAGGTCCCCCAGACCCAGGGAGTCCTCCTGCTCCTCCACACCCAATGGAGAGCCCTCATCCTGGGGCTGCTCACTGGCTGGGGCTGCCTGTCCTGGGAGAGGACCACCAGGGATGAGGCAGGACACTTGGGCTGGGATGGGGGCCTGTCCTGGAAGTCTTGGGGGCATCTGCGAAGGGTCTGGGCCCAGCGCAGGAGGGGAGGACAGGGGGCTAGGAGGGAGGGGGAATCGTCCCACCCCTGGAGCCACGACAGGAGGGGGCACCAGGGTTTGTGAATGATTGAGAGGAGGAGGAGGCCCCAGTTGTTGTGTGAGGTCCATGGTTGGAGGCACTATTGTTTGGGAATGATCTACAGGTGGGGGCAACAACGTGTGCACCATTGGTGGAGGCCCCAGTGTCTGAGGTGGGGGTCCTAAACTGTGTGGCGGGGAAATGGAAGGAGGCCTTAACGTGTGAGGAGGAGCAGCAGTTATGGGTGGGGGACATAGACTCTGGGTGGGAACCAAGGTTGGAGGTCCCATCGCCTGAGCAGGGGACATGGGAGGCGGGCCGAGAGGTTGCGTTGGCGCCATTGGCGGAGGTCCCAGCCGGTGCAGAGAGTCCATGTGATGGAAAGGCTGATGGTGATGACTGAAGAGACTCAGAGGAGGCTTCAACATGGTCTCTGGACCTGTGGACGTCAGAGGCTATACACTTAAAGGGCATGGACTTATAGTTATCAAAGACCTTTCTCCTTAGTCAGGTCCTTTAGAAATTAGATACAACTGCAAAACATCAGTAAGATAAATAATCATTCATGCAAGTTTTATATTTGAAAAACATTTAGGCCTATATGTAGTCCTGTTTTCTTCTAAGGCCTTGAGGGACGATAACATTGACAGCATATTAAGATTGACAACATGCCTCCAGGGTCTAGATAGATGAGATGACATCAGATTAGTTTAGATTTGATTAGATTCACTCTAAGGGGACATTTTCCTTGGGCAAAAAATGCAAAAAGTAACATACAGCTCAATGCAACTTGATGTAACTTTAATTATGCACAATACTAAAAACACACACGTGAATATATCATTTACTTAATGACAAAGATTTTCATTCGTTATAATCCAAAGGAAGTAAAAATAGTCTGTTTTGGTGCACATGCTGATGATAATGTACGATTTGATCTGATTCTGTCAAACTTAAAGCAAGGGGAAAATAAAAAATAATGTCGACGCATCACTTTAAATGACACCGTGAAGTAGGCACACAGGGCTTGTCTTTAATCTTTCAAAAATAAATACAGGATTTGCTTTGGATTGTAGACTTTAAAAATGCGCTTTCAGATGCTGCAGACTTGAGTGGACATTGTGTACTGACAGATCATCAAACAGACAATGACGAGGGATTTGGTCAAAGTCCAATGCCTAATGTACAATAACAATAATACCACGCATCTGTATCTAGATGCCCCGAGGCAGGAGAGATGTAAAGAAATGTGCGCTTGAAAACACATTGTCGGACAGAGGGGGCTTTTCACTCCAGTGGGCATCAGAAAGATTAGGCTGAGCCTGCAGGCGCCTGCAGTAAAGCATACAGGACGTTATATATATGCATACATGTTCACACACGCGCACACACACCGAAACACAGTGACAATAAAATCCATCTCAAGCTGATCACTCTGCCTGAAGTGTGACTGCTTGAATGGACTTGTGTTTGTGTAAAAAAACAGAAATAAAGAGCATGAAGCTACTGCGCTGATTTATGTGTGTTTGTATGTGCCACTCTAATGATCCATTATGTTAGTGTGTGTGTGTGTGTGTGTGTGTGTGTGTGTGTAACTACATGCATTGACAGGTCACTAAAAAAGGCCAACAGCTGTGTCAAAACTCACTGCGCTGGAAGCTTTTATCTGGGATCCAACTGGACGCCCTGGAGGCACTGATTCATAGACCCAAAATAAAACCCAGGGGTGTTTGTGTTTCCGACTGCTGCTCTCTGTCAGTCTGTCTGTCTTGCCCGTCTAGCTGCCTCTCTCTGTCACTTGGCATGGCCGACCTCAGCAGAAAGGTATGCTGGACGAGTCACTGATCTTACTATAGTGGACTCTAAGGAAGATTTAGCAGAGTTGGGCGAGTGCACATTACCACAGACACGTTAAGGAGCAGTTGCATATAAACTGAATATCAGTTTTACAACTTATTGGCATCGTTAAATCTTGGTTTCTGGTGTCTCCATCTGCTATTTTTGGAAGCTTCTTCTGAGGGCTGCATCAGTAGGGAGCCACAGCACTGATTTATTTGCAAGAGAAACATATGAAATGGGTTATTATTCAAATATACGACACTATGCAATGCGATGCGATACGATGTGGTACGATGCCATTGCTTAACTTCTAAGCTAAGTCTAGCTTAGCTTAAGAGAAGGCGTCAATGACAGAAAAATAGAAAATGCAAAGGCAGCTATAGAACCAATGATGAACACAAAACAGGAAAAAGTATGGTTTTAATTTGCAAACAAAAATTGCTAATGCATGTTGATATTGGTATATTTTGAAAATAAACAGTTGAGGAAAAGGGCCAAAGGTCTTTCTCATGCGACACCGTTTGAGAAGATTGAGCAACAAATGTTCATATTTTTCACTTGGATCAGACCAGTAATCAGTACACGTTGTGCACATACTCTATCCCCCAGCAGCAGCAGCAGCAGCAGCCCTAACACCCTTCAGCTCTGATTGAGACAGCCTTCACAACAGTTCTAGGCGCAAAAGAAAACTGGACCTGTTTTCTTGATATTAATCTTGTAGCTTTTCAGAGACACAGTACAAACAAGCTCTACATGCACTTGTACTGTCAACAGTTAAAGTGTAGCTTCCTAGTCCTACATTGTAATTTATTTGTGCTGGCCTGCTCTTCTTCAATCAATTATGCCTCATGTATTGTTATCTATTTTATCAATAACGTAAGCGATTTGTCATGGTTGATTTTGTAGATATGCTGGTTTTCAAGATCATCTTTATTCCTCTTCATTTTCTCACCTTTTTTTTGCTCTTGGCTCCTTGTGTTTGCTGAAATTTCAATTGAATTGCTCCCTCCTGATTCTCCATAGATTAAAGATTTAATGAAAGAAAGGAGGGTTGTAATAGATCGCAATTAATGATTATACAAAGTTGAGCAATTTTAAGCTGAAAACATTTTCTGTTTTTTCTTCCAGTGTATTAAACAGAGACCTGTATAATTCATTTTTTTCCAGAAATGACTGATTGGTTACCAGGGCAATGTGTCTATATTATGATGCTTTATGACCTTTATTCACGTTTGCGCTTTTTCAAATGGCAGAATTAATTGCAGTAATGCTCATAATTGGTTTAATACATATGTGGCCTATCAGACAGTAAAAGGGTAACATGTGTCCTTTGCTGTAGGGATTTAAGCAATAAAAACATGCATTATTAGCTATGACTGTGCAGATTACAACCAGTTCTAAATCCACTCTGTCGTTAGATGAAAGCATCTATTTATATCTCCCTCTATTTTGACATGAAACAGATCCAACTTGCAGGAACATCAAACCGGATAAAGCAGTACAGCTGTTATAATGAATGGAAGATTTGGGTCTTTATTTGACATAAAGGAAGTTGCAGGATAGTTTTTATTCTGGCTGAGATCATTCCAAAGTTTTTAATATGAGCCAGATAGGCCAAGGTCAGTATGATCTTCCTCCTCAAAGACAAAGTTCCAGGCCAACAAAGTTTGGTCTGAAGTGCCGAGGCTCACATTCATGTTCACAGAAAACGGTCCTTACTGCAAATTAAAAAAAGAAAGAAAGAAAACTTTTGGCATCACAGCTTTGGGAGAGGAGACAATCAATGTTGCAAGTCAAAACTAGGCTTATGTAATATTTGCTCTAAAGCACAAAGCAGAAAATAAGTCTCATCATCATCCTCTGCCTTAACGCAGCAGTTCATATCAAGTTTTGGATGAATAGATCCCAAAGTGTAATTGGGAAGAAAACTACCTCAGAAGTTAGTCACTGGTTCATCAATTCTGTTAGCTTGACTCAGGATTTGTGTCTTTGCTGGTTACACACACACACACACACACACACACACACACACACACACACACACACACACGAACGCAAACTTCTGTCTCGGAGCCTGATCATCTCTCGGCCTCCACAGAGAATCTCTAAATAGGCCAAGTGTTCATTTTCTCTTGAGTTTTTCTTGCTATACTGTGCTGTCTCACATCAATTATGGAGCAATGAGGAGCACATGCCTCCTGCACTTATTTCATCTGCTTCACTGGACACTGGACGAGAGCAGAAAGCAGCAGAGACCAGATAGCCAATGTCTTCCTGTACTTTTTTTTTTTTACAGTAGATCTAACCAGCTAATAAAGTTTTGAATTATTAACAAACGGTGAGAGATAGGCTGACCAAGTGTGTTCATTCTGGCAGATGAAAAGTTGTTAAAAATCCACAAGTATTCAACTCGTAATAATAATTTAAAATAAGCAGAGATGCAAGCAAATTTTATAAAAAAAAAAAAAAATCTGCTATTTTTCAGCCCTTTTTTGATTGAGTTATCAGCCACTTACAACAACTTGAAGACGTTGTGCAGGCTATGCATTTTTCATCTGACAGAGAGGCTGACTGAAGATGACAGTTCAATGTAACTAGGTGGACAGAATCTGTCTCAAGCTGTAAATCTGGATAATCTACACAGATACATGATCCATATAGCCTCAAGTCCCTGTAACCTGCAAGGGAAAGCCTGTTTATATGGCAGGGACTGTGCAGGTGCAACGAAGAAACCCTCGGTGTGAAATTGCCACATGCACATCATCAGTAAGTGCGGATCAAGCAGTGCAAAGGCTATGAAGTGAAGGGAGCAGCATTTCTTCACTTGACAACAGACTGAGGCTGTTTTACAGTCTGAACCCAGCTCAAGATATAGAAAAGCTCTCCATACTGTACAAGAGACAATAAGAGTATCTCGACATCCTCACATTTTGCATCACAGCATCTTTAAGCAGAACAGAATGAAGGCTGGTACCCCCCACACCCTTCTCTAACATGACATTAAGATGACAGCAGCACCCGAGTTTAAACATCCACCTTCCTCTCTCTGTGACATCTGCAAAATCTCTCTCTGGTTGAATTTTTTCTCAGCGCATCATTAGACTACACTGGGAGTCAAAGGGGGGGAGATCCTGGATGTTACAAGCCTCTCCTTACCTGGCAATCGGGCAAAATAATGGCTGCTGTCACCGTAGCTGACAGGCGGTGAAGTGTAATTTCTGCAGTAATCTGCACTCTGGTAGTACGCTGCATCCCCGGTCTTCAGCTGCAGCGCCATCATCGCACTGACATCCCCCTTTGCCAACTTCTTCTCTCCAAAAAACCGGGCGATCTCGGCAGGATGACAGACCTTACCACACGCTCGGATACCGCGGCTTTCACCGGAGGGGGGATTTTCAGAAGAGAGAGATATACAGAAAACCACAGTCACCAGTAGCACATTTTAACCCACTAACTTTAAGCATATCTAAGTTAATTTTTTTGCTTAATAATCGCCTACAAAGGTGATCTTCTGACATTTTTACAAGAAGTAAACTCTGCCAAGGATCCTCCTGCACCCCCTCTTCTTGGTACGGTCCATTTCCGATGCCACCGCTCTTGATTTGCATGGGTGGTAATCATGACACATTGTATAAATATGTTACACCTCTATGGTTCTCTCGGATCACCCGTGAGGGCTATTTATGAGTGTCAATCTGCTGGGAAAACAGTAGAAAAAACAGAAGAAGCTTATTAGATAAAAGCAAAAAATAAGGAAATACGTCCAACATGTCACCTGTGGAAGTGATAATAAAGTAATAATTGAAGATTTACTAAACTGTTTTTCCCCACTATGCACGATGTGTTTATTGGACTACATCATACCTTTAGGCTATTTAAGCAACTTTTATTATTATTATTGAGAAGATGTGATTGAAAGAGAAAAATACAAGCAGCCTAAGTGATCTTTTTTTTGTCAATTAAATATGAATGCATTACATTTTAATGTATGTATATATGTATTAAAGGTTAATATAACATTATTTTACTGTGTGTCTCATAGTAATTTCCCATATGTTGCATATAGCCTATAGCACTATAAAGATATCAACAAATTTTACGTTTTGTGTATTTAATGTAGCCTTATATTATATATAGACAGATTATAAATGTGCATGTAGTACATCAGTGATTACAAGTGTCTGCACTCGTAGTCACTGACTTAGAAGGAAAAGAGAAGAGAAGATAAAACAAGATAAGATAGAGATAAGATCATTTTTATTGATCCACTTTTGGGGCAAACTGCAGCAAAGGAAAGTGTGATCAAGAGATGCAACTAAAATTAAATCAACAATAACAAGACTACATACAATAAATATAAGGCTACTATAGCAGGCCTATATTTATATAAGATAATATGCTATAAAAAGCTATAATATTATATGACACTGATTAAAAACTACACAATGTAGACCTTAAAACAAAAATGATTAGGATGAGTTACATTACTTTTTAAAAAAAATTGCAATCACTATTTTACATTCTAGGCATATAAACTATAATTATATTGTCCAATTATCATCTTCAGTCTTTCTTCTGTCCTGCTTTAAACTTTGAATTTCACTTTCTGAGGCTCAACAGTGTCTTATCTTATCTTCTTATCTCATCAAATAATGGACTAGGTTATTTAGCAGAAACAAGTAGGTGCCACGCCACACACACACACACACACACACACACACACACACACACACACACACACACACACACATTATGTTGAAATGAATCACCAGCTATGTAGGCTGCTGTAATGTAGTTTTAAATGTGGTTTTGTGTTTTGATGCATGAGTGAGAGAAGTGTTAAACCACTAATAGCCCATACTGATGAATTACACCAGCAGTTTCACTCTCAGTGTGTAGGTGTAGGTGTGTGTGTGTGTGTGTGTGTGTGTGTGAAGAGGAAGGGAGGAGGGCCCCAGACAGACAGCGTGGCTGCAGTGCCGCAGCAGAGACTCCTTCTCGTCCAGTCGGACCAGCTGCTCTCCACAACAAGCCTCAGGTTCAGCAGCTCTGACAGACAGCAGGGACACATTGGAGATACATTTCTGTTCATCTGCCTGAGCTCACAACACAAAGAGGGGGAGGAGGGGGATTTAATGACGAAGTGGAGGAACGATTACTGTCACGGTTAGCCGGCAGAGACGTCACATCTCCCGCAGCTGGGAGACACCAGCCCGGCCGAGCCGCTGGGAGCTGAGAGGCTAACTGGCTTTAGCCGGGGAAACCAGTCTCTCCACAGACAACGCTGCGTTGACGCCCACTCATACGGGTACGAAACGATGCTAAACAACCCATATTTGAATATTCCAGCAGAGAAATGTCATGTTTTTTGTGTTTTTTTGGATATATTTAATAAAAACAAGAGGATGCAAGGCTCATCGTTAGCAGTTAGCTTGTGAAGAAGACATCCAGATATCCTCACAGCGCCTGCAGACAAACCGTGAGAAGAGTTGTTGTTACCTAATTATACAGATTATGTCATTGTTACATAAATAAAGCAATATCGAGGGTGCACAGAGTGATGCAGCTGTCATATTTAGCTGTCATCACCACACACCAAACCTCAGATATCCTGCAGCTGCTAGTGAATTTAGTGAAATGCTGTGTTGTTGTTGTTGTTGTTGTTGTTTGTGTTTCAACATTTCCTCAACATATTTTGGTGACAGGGTGAAGATGGACTGAAAACATGAAGGGTGGAACTGTCCCATCGTCAGAATAGGAGGGCTTCTCTCTTGGGTATGCTTTTCCTGTCTGTATTCAAAGAAACAGGAGTGTGTCAGATGTCAGAGTGTAAACATATGATTTTAAATTGGCCACTGTTTCACAAAAACAAACACTTTGTTGTGATATGATATGTGGTGCAAACTGGCTTCACCTTTTACGATAACCGCAAAAAAAATATTATTCTGCTTTCCGACCGGGCCAAAGTGTGACCCGGCTAACCTTTCACTGCTGTGCTTCAGTATTCAAAGCGATCTCATCTCTGTAGGCAAATGTTTCCCCACTCCCCACATCCTGTGTTGTGAGGAAGCTTCCTCTTTTGTCCCAAAGTGCTTTAGCTGCATCCTGATCAGGGTCACAGATCACATGACAGCTTCACTGCTCTAAAAGCTCGATTGTTCTAACTTTGTTTTTATATTTTGTTAAAGCTTGTTTTTTTTTTTTGTACATGTACACTTCATTTTGTTTTGTTTTGTCAGAAGCTTTATCCGCTTGGCCTCACTGTGATTATTTTATACTTTATTTCAGACCCATAGGTCCATATCATCATAAAGAAAGCACTCAAAATATAAAAACAGGACACCAACGATGAAGGGATATAATCACGACAGTTCACAGTTTGTCAGTAATTCAAATACAAAGAGACATTTGCACCAGTGTTTCCAGAATAAGAGGAACACCTTGAGTCACTTAGTGGTGGAGCAACATTATGATGAACATTTTCTGAATCAACGACACTGAAATTTATACATCGAATTTCTCAATTCAGAATGACATGTGGAGACGTTATTATTAGTTAAACATTTGACTTGCACTCGTCCATCCTGGTGTTGATTATATTTTCTCTTCTTCGCTGCTATGGCCGTCATTTGGCGGTTTTGAATCGCGTCTAATCCCTAAATTCTTACCTGTGCGCCATCGGCTTTGGGGAAACTCAGCAGCTCCCGGTCCCGAGACGTCCCGAGTCGACCAAAATGAACCAAAAGTTAGCAGTGGACAGACTTTAGGCAGACACAGTCACTGCGACACATGTATGGAGGCCCAAAAGTGATGACCAAGCGACCTTACTTTTGTATTATAAGTCCATATTCTATTTGTTTCAGGTTAAAACTACTGACTCTGCCTTTAAGGAATGTCAGGTGGTGAAATAAGAGATATAAGCTGTTTTCACATAATGCACTCCTGTTATTATGTCTAGATAATTTCAGGTAATGTCCTGCTGCGGCCGTTCTCACATCAGCCCACTCGGACTTGCTGCGGTAAAAATTCTAGGGGGCCGGCAAATATAATAATAATAATAGTAATAATAATAATAGACTTTATTTGGCATGGACATCACAGATACATTGGACGAACCAGATTCATTGTTTAAGTGTTTTAGCAAGCGTGCTAGTTCTCAACACCGGTCCACAGGAGGCTTTAGAAAGGAAAACAATTAAGATAGGGAGAAAAGTGATCAAACAGAGAAAACAATAAGGAGAGAATAAATAAATAGACATAAACTGTAGAGCAAAGGCAGCATGATCAAACAATAAACCAGTCAGAAGCTATTCATGTGAGCACTGTTGTTTTGATTTTATCAGGAGTTTTTCAGGAGTTTTCTGACAGTGTGAAAGCCCTATAAGTTTTACTGCAACAGTGTACGTGTCTGTTGCTCTGTTTAAATCAAAATGCACACAGAGACACTTTTTTTTTTAATTTGTGATGAATTTAGACTTTTGCAATGTGCTAATTGCCATAGTTTGTATTTAGATCAACCACACAGCCCTATAGTCTCTTTAGATGCTGAGTCATCCAGGTCATGGTGGTCCAAAGTCAGAACTGAATGAGAGGTGAAATATCAACCAAGTCTAGTTACCTCCTGTTTCAAACTTTAACCTGCTAATAAATACTGTAAAAAGATGCTCTTTATATAAGTTGATGGACACCATTGCTATTACAGACACCAGAGAAGTAGATAGGAAAAGTCATTCTGTTTCAACCCTGACCCAATACTACTACGAGTTCATTCTAACATGACTTTGTTTGATTTTATAGTCATGAACTGATTGAATGTATTTTATTTTATGAAGCACTACGAGTTTTATTTTCTGTTTCCCCCCTCAGTTAAATGTTCAGTGTGGTATGAGGACATGATTTTGTGAAGTCGAAGAGATTTCTTTCCAGTTAACAAAACGCCCAAATGTTAAACTTCTTCTTGGATGTTTCACATTGTTTTCAGTTTTAGGAAGTACACATTTCCTAGTCATTATGTGCAAATCCACTGTTACGAGCGCTTAATGTGAGCTGTTTTCAAACGAAATGAAGCATTACATTGTATATACAAGACTTAACAACATCTGGGCTGTGAGTGCAGCCCGTTGGTAAGATTTTCTATGCCAGTTTTACACATGTCATGGGTACTCAGCAGCCAGTCCAGTACTTGTTTTAGTCTCTGCTGCTGTTTGGTTGACTGAACATGCGGCTTGTTCTCTTAACTCAGTGAGCACAGCTGAGCCTCAGCTACAGCGGTGCAAGTTCACTGAGCTGCTCCACACACTCTCTTCAACCCAAAAGTAGCTCATGTTGAGCCACATTTTGAAATGAAGTTGATCAGCAATAGAAAAACAAAGTTGTTTTGTGTGTTTTTGTTTAAATTCCATCGCTTGAATTGTATATAAAACAAAGTGGACAAATGGGTGGGCTTGGATGCATGAAGAAGGAATTATTCACTCATGCAGACAGACTGCCCTTGAAATCTTCCTGAGTTGCTTGTTCATACATTCTGCTCACAGTGGGAGACTATGCCTGGTTGATGGGAGGGAGGGAGGGATCTCAGGAAGCAAGACATGACATAAAAAAATACAGAAGTGGCAGAAGATGCAACAGAGTCTGACGCTGTTATGACTATTTTTGCCTTTATATCAGTGTAGTTTGACACATTCACAATATCAACAAAAGACGAGAAGAGGAACAGAAAACGTAAAGAAGCAGTTTCATGAGGTGCATGGAGATGGTACACATTAGGGCTGGGCGATATGGACCAAAACTCATATCTTGATATTGATTAGCTGAATGGCGATACTCGATATATATGGATATGTATTTTATTAACAGTGAAAACACATGGAAAAATAAACTACCTGTTTGTGAATTTAAAAAGTAATATTATAAAATAAAAATGTTCCTTAAATACAATAAAAGAGAGAGAGAGGAGGAGCAGGGTGAAGAGGGACAGACAGTCAGTCATCATCAGTGAGATGAGAAAAAGGTGACCTGACACCTCTGTAATGTTATTTTAATGCAACATAAACTATATCCATATTAACCATGTTGTCTTACCCTAGATCTTATTTGAAAATATATCGATATATCTGAAAAACTCGATATATTTCCCAGCCCTATTACACATACAGTCTATAGTTGTGCATTGGCTGCAGGATACAGACGTAACGCTCCAGCTTGCTGTGTCCTGCTGTGTTCTTACAACAGCTCACCTGACTTCACATGGAATTATTTAAGGACAGGAACAATTTAGGGTGAAGTGGGAGTGAAAAATGTGGCTGTTTGCGTCACACCTCAGAAATGTCAGAGGGTTTTCATGAGTGTGAAAGCACAGTTACATTAGCTAGAGGCTGTTTAAGTCCCAAACTGTCTTCTCTATGTCAGCTTTGGCCGAGAAAGTTTTGGGGCTAGATTGAAATTCGATGACATGTTGAGTAATATGCATTCCATGAAATTCAGATTTTTTTATTGACTTTGGTCACCAGCTTCATTTACAGTGCGGTCGAATCACATAGTTTACACAGTAATAAAAAAAAAAAAACCAGGCTTCGGTATTCAGAGGGCACACAGACAGTTGCTCAGTTGGCAACACTGCACCTCATGTGTGACCACCGGGGTCACCTTGAAAGTGTGGCACACGCACCTTTTGAACAATGACAGTCAGAGACCGCCAACCACGCTTCTGCTGTGTTAGTGACCAGCAGCAGAGCAGAAACATCTGAACGTACATTTTAGTATCACCACCGTGGCTTTTAGTTTAACTGGATTTTTTTATGGCTTGTTTTTGTACACATCGAGGATTGGAACTTGCCTTTAAAGTGTTGCAATCTTTCAGGTCTGGCTCTGCAGCTTAACCGTGTGACTGAGCTGGGAGACAGAGGGGAAGATGCCTCCCAGGCCGTCCTCTGGGGAGCTATGGGGCATCCACTTGATGCCTCCCAGGTATGAAACATTAGATCTTATACAAATGGACATGTATGTATTCAGGCATTACTGGTATGGGGTTAATCAAAATATAATTTCTGTTTCATGTTTTGTGTGAGAAAATCTCAACAGTTAATTTTGCAAAGAGTAAATAAAGTGAATTATTAAATCAGAAGTCCTCCTTGTATAATGATGCCGATTGTGTCTGCAGGATCCTGGTGGACTGCCTGCTGCCCAACGGGATGATTCTGACCCTGGAGTGTCTACGCGAGGCCACGCTCATCACCATCAAACATGAGCTTTTCAAAGAGGCCAGGAAATATCCCCTCCATCACCTCCTACAGGAGGAGACGTCCTACATCTTTGTCAGTGTGACACAGGTAAGAAATCTCCATCTCAATTTTAATATCCGGCAGCGAGAGGAGTCCATCTAAATAATAGAATGGAAATCCATTATTGAGAGTTTGATGGGAATAGACAGATACATATAAAGGAGAATTCTTCCAGAGTTCATGTAGCTGCTAAAAGGTTCTAATAAAAAGAAAGACTTATTAAAAACGTAGCCAGCAGCTTCCTACCCTGTGAGGTAAGCTGTGCTCAAACTTGATTGTGAAACAGATGTGTGTAGCTCACATCATGCTTGCCTCTCTACATAACTGCTTGGGAAATAAAACGCCTTCCCGTATTTGAAAATACACCGAGCTATACACTATTTCAAAACATCTTTTGTACACCTGGAGGGAAGGCTTCACATCTAAAAAGAAAGTCACCCTAGGCTTTCTGACAAAGTGGAATACATTGAACACAATTTTTTTTTTTTTTTGTTTCCTTTCCTCAGGAAGCCGAACGGGAGGAGTTCTACGATGAAACCCGCAGGCTGTGTGACCTGCGACTCTTCCAGCCCTTCCTCAAGGTCATTGAACCAGTGGGCAACAGAGAGGAAAAGATCCTCAACAGAGAGATTGGTGAGATGGTTTCTCGTCTGTTTGCATCGCTTCTGTTGTAACTTGATTTCATTTTTTGTGTTGTTACTTTTATAGAATTCTGCCTTCTGATAAAGAAAATATTAATTTACACCCATAACTAACAATTAATTAAAAAGTTGGCATATTCATTTTTAACATTGTTTTCTTTATTTTTTATTTAGTGTGATGTATGAGAGACGCCAAGAGTTTTCATATCATAAATGTTTGTCCGAGGCAAACTACGCTCAGTGGCTTTATGTAGAAAGTCAGGGAATGACAGCGTACCTGAGCTTGGATTTATTTAATATTTAATTTGTTTGGATAATTTGGATTAACTCTCAAAGTCTTTATATGTGATTTTTCACACTTAAATATAATATAAATCAAGTATATCCTCTGAAAATAACTCTGTGAGTCATGACTGTCTACAATGGGTGTAACACCCGAGTCCCACTGTCTGTGATGTTTTCAGAGTTTTCAGAGTCCTATCTTCACTTTGTTTACATCGTCGGGACGGCCGGCTGACTCCTCCCCTCGTGTATAAAAGTTATTTAATTGAGGACTAGAGAAAAGAAGAATAACATACTGTACTCACTGCTTAACTGTGTTTCTAGATCACGCTCATTTCAGGTAAATTTACATGCAGTGTGAAGATACCAGCATAATAAAGATCGCTAGCATTAGCATGCTAACACAACAATGCACCGCGAGTTGTTTTGGTTTCATGCTGGACCTCAAGGGCGACATCTGCTTGATCAAAAAATCGCATATATAAAGCCTTTAAAGTTCAAAACTTGAACATATTTTACTTAAAAAAACAAACAAACACTGACTATGCTTCATGTTCCATCAGGTTTTGCCATCGGGATGCCAGTGTGTGAGTTTGACCTGGTGAAGGACCCCGAGGTTCAGGACTTCAGGAGAAACATCCTGAATGTTTGTAAAGACTCTGTGGAGCTGAGAGATGCCAGCGGACCCCACAGTAGAGCCCTCTATGTTTACCCACCCAACGTGGAATCTACACAGGACCTCCCCAAACACATCTATAGCAAACTGGACAAAGGTAGGCGACTGCTTCAGTCTGTTTCCTTTGAGTGTGTGATGAATCAAAGACGAGTACTACTGAAGTAGAAGGTATAAATAGACAGCAAGAGAGCACTAAGAGACAACTAGAGGAGCACGGGGAATCAGAGATGGTTATTAGCCTCCCATCAATATTTAATCCTTACGAGCAAGCCTTTAAAAAGAAACTACAGTAATGAGCATGGCAGTCAATTAATTGATTGTGCAGCTATTAGTGTGAAGCTCTTGTGTTGAAACAATACCGAGGAAAAGCACAGCACTCGATAAAAGCATGCAGACCTTTGTATGATTGAAGGTGGGAGTTGTTGTTTTTTTGGGGGGGGTTTCTGCTCCAGTAGAATTTGATTTATGGATTTTTTTTTCTCAGTCGCCATGACAATCGTTTTTTTTTTTTTATCTCTTTTTTTTTGTAGGTCAGATTATTGTTGTGATTTGGGTGATTGTTTCTCCGAACAACGACAAACAAAAATATACATTGAAGATCAACCATGACTGTGTGCCTGAACAGGTAGGGTAAACTTATTCTAATATATATAAGTAATGAGTCTTAAATTACCGTGTATGCACTTTTATTTTGAGTTCAACACCAGGGATTCGGCGGGTGTATGACGCAGTCTGTTGTGCATGTATCTTAACTTAAAGGTGATTGCAGAGGCCATCCGTAAGAAGACACGCAGCATGCTGCTGTCCCCAGAGCAGCTCAAGATGTGTGTTCAGGAATATCAGGGTAAATACATCCTCAAAGTTTGTGGCTGTGATGAGTACCTGCTGGAAAAATTCCCCATCAGCCAGTATAAGGTAAGAGCTTTAATTAGATTTAAAGAGCTATGGATGTAAGATACAAGTGCCATCCCAAATTCATGAAAAAAAAAGAGAAAGAGAGCCCAAAAAATAGGGTGACATTGTTATTTTTTCATTTTTTTCTCTTTTATTGTGAGGTGAACAAGTACAAAATAAAAATGTGCTCATAGACATGACAATTAAAGCAACGGCAAATAAACAAAAACAGAAATAAACAAAACAAAATCAAAATACGCAAAACATTAGCAAAGACAAATACAATTAAAGTAGATATAATTAAAGTCAAGTAGTAAGTTGAGGTAGTGTATAAGAAAAGTGTGAATGTGTGTGTGGCAGTGTAATGCATTAAAGTGAGTGGCTGAGTGGGAAGTAGCAAGAAAAATAAACAGAAACAAAATTGAAGATAAAGATAATTGAGAGGAAAAGAAAAAAAAGAAAGATATAAATGTGTCAACATTAATGGAAAGAAGACAATTTTACATATATTTATATATATATAAAAATAATAAAATAAAATGTTTGGTGTTAATGTGGCCATCATAAAAAGAGGGAGGAAAAGAAGAAGAGAACAGGGAAAAATTAAAAAAATAAAAAAAGTAATAATAATAATAATAAGAATGTGTGTGTGTGTGTGTGTGTATATATATATATATATATATATATATATATATATATATATATATATATATATAGACGTATACAAACATGCACATAAATCTGGTTTATACATGGTATCACTACGAAGAGCCGAGAAGAGGGGGTCACAGGGAGCTTGGGGAGTTAGGCAAGAAGCCCCCTATGTGTGGGTGACATTGTTTTTGATTTGTAATTTAATTTTGAATTACCAAATAGAACTGGATAGGTGGACATGACATAACACCAAAACACCAGATGAGAAACCAATGCACCGTGCAGTTCGCAACTGGATCTTGTATTTTAGCTAAAGCTTATTAATCCCTCTTTATTTGTATTTTGGTTTGGGGTTTGTTGTTGGTGCAGGGATAACTTGAAGTAAAATCTGACCATCGTGACATTAAGGAGACTTTTAATGTTCACCACTTCTCACATCTCACTTCTCATCCCTCCTTCATTTTACTTTCCCGTCGTCTCACTTGTCTTTCTGACTTCTCTTTCATAACATTGTTTCCAATAAATGGCATCAAAAAAGCCTGAAAGATAGTTTCTGCTGGCAGGCAGTAAAAACATTTCTCAAAGGTTTAGTGATTTGAACTCAACATTGGTTTCATGAAGACGGATCTGCAGAGTCTTAGTTCAATGTTTCAAAATGTAAAACAATTGTTAGCACAGTTTGGGGGCTGTGCGCTCAGAGACCTTTTAAACTTTGTTTTTTTGGAAAAGCGAGCATCTGTCAAGATATTTGGCAACGCTGCTTAAGAGATGTGTCTTGAAATAAATCAGGCTGGATCAGGGTCAGGGCTGATTCAGGATTTGTTTGACTTTATTCAGTATCAGGATATAGCTTAAGACAGATTCATTTCAGATTCAGTGTTAGTTTTGAAAAGCAGAGGATGAGTCAAAACAACATTGCCTTTAATTCGATCACATGAACATCCTAACGTTCAAGGTCTTGAGCCCGTGCTAGGATTTTGGATTAATGTAATTTGAAGCAGGCCAGAATAAAATATGCACAAACTGCACTGTTTGCTCCATTGTGACTCAGCAGAAACACCCAGTTGCTTTAATTGATTATGCACAAATAACTCGAGCAGTTCTGCGCACCACGACTCTCACTGTCCTCTTTTTTTCTTCTCTCTCTGTCTTTTACTTTCTAGTATATCCGTAGTTGCATCATGCTGAGCAGGATGCCTAACCTGATGCTAATGGCTAAGGACAGCCTGTACACACAGTTGCCCACAGACAACTTTGTCATGCCTTCGTACTCGAGACGCATCTCCACGGCAACATCCTACATGAACGGGGAAGCAGCTGCCAAGTCGCTGTGGACGATCAACGGAACCCTGCGCATAAGAATCCTCTGTGCCACTTATGTCAACGTGAATATACGGGACATAGACAAGGTGGGGGGGCCACAGTTCTTACAGGAATATATGTACTGAGGATGTATATATATATATAAATACTCTGCTGTCTGTGCTGATCAGTCAAACTCACCAGTCGTCTATTGTGACATATATGTTATAGGAGGAGTTTAGAGTTGGCCAAAGGGAATAAATTATGTGGATCAGGATGGTATTTTTTTTAGATTCATGAATAAAATCTAGTTTTTCAAATGTATTCGAATGTGTCTTTCGAGGAACATCACTTGACTTTTTTCAGTTTCACAAGGTAAACCCCATCCTCCAGTCCCCTCACTTCCTGCAGAAACAAACAGTCACCGCCCGGGTCTCATATGAACACGGAGAGAGTTATTTTAGCTCATGGCTGGCTGGCTTGCTGTCGGGAATCATTTGTGTAAATGTAACCTGTCTTTGCAGAAGTGCTGGACTGCATACCGCTGAATTGTAAAGAGCATTTAACATGACAGCTGTTACATGCTATTAATTATATTATTCTGATCTCACTTGACCTACGGACCAGTTTCATTATCGTTTTGCGTCACCTTGTGTCATTAATGTGTTTTTGCCTTTGTTGTATTTTGTTTCTCTTGTACAGATATATGTGAGAACAGGCATTTACCATGGAGGTGAACAGATGTGTGACAATGTCAACACACAGAGAGTACCCTGCTCTAACCCCAGGTAATTACCCACCTGTCATCACAATGCATTTTTACTCACAGCAGAAGTCCTTTAATACACGCTCTTATCAAAATCCTTAATTTATTTGTTAAAGGAATTTCTTTAAAAAAATATGTGTGCAATAACCTCAGGTGCAATAAGAGATTTTATTTGTATTATATATTTGCTTTAATACAGTGTATAGCTTCTGTACAGTTTATTTTAATTCACTTAGCTGTTACTACAACTTATTTATTATTATTTTTTTATTTGTACTTTTCTACTCTTTTTTTTTTTCTTATCATGCTATTCTATTTTATATATAATTTTAACTTTTTGTAGAAGCTGACTCAGGGAGAAATGCACAAAAATGCCAATGTACCTGTACTGTCCTGTACCTGTGCAAATGGTAACAAACATCTATTCTATTCTAGTCTATTCTATTCAATATAGTTCTAAATCGCTAAAACGAATACATGAGAGAGTACATTCAAATGAACCTATTATAGTATGCCTTACTGAAGAACATGTTTCCCTTTGTTTGATTTACTGTCTCTGTTTTCATTGAAACACTGCCTTAGACAACTTTCACTGCTAATTTACTGTAAGTGGTCTCAGGCATGGGGGGTTAAGTAGACCGTTTAAGCTGAATAGTAACACTAACTGCTGTATTATATTACTGTTAAACCAAACTGTGGGCCCCTCTTGTTCCTCTGGAGATGTTAAAAGTAAAACTGTTTCTACTTAAGTAGATATGTGTCACTTTCCTAAATGTGCTCGCTAACGGTGTAGGCCAGTGGTTTTTCAACTGGTGGGTCAGTACCCACAAGTGGGTCGCCGAGCTGTTTTCATGAATGAGGGCCTGGAAAGAAAAACGGCGTCAGAAAGTCCATGAAGTGCTTTTTAAACATGTCTTCTTGATCTGTGTTTTTGTTCTGTCGCATGCTTTTACACGGCTGAGGTCGGCACGGCACCATCTTTCATTAATTTATTCTGACTGGTTGAAAAATGTCCGAAATTTGGGTTGCGAATTTTTATGGAGGCCTTGGTGGTGGGTCCCTCTTTTATAGCAGTTAAAGATTTCAGAGCATTCAGTTTTATGTCCTAGCTACACTCTGAGTGCTCCTCCGAGGTCTAAGTGGATAATTTTCCATTAGGTCATGTTTTTGGTGGTTGTAGCCTGACCTTTTTCTCGTATTTTACGCTTTTTTTTGTACTTTGTTTGTTTCTGCCATTCTCTCTCTAAAGGTGGAATGAGTGGCTCACCTATGACATGTACATCCCAGACATACCCCGCGCTGCCAGACTCTGCCTCTCCATCTGCTCTGTCAAGGGCAGGAAGGGAGCCAAGGAGGTAGGATAGAAAGCAGGGAAGGAAATGACTCTGCAGTGCATCTTAACAAATTAACAGGAACTGGACTTGCAAAAACAGGAAGTACCTTACCAGGAAATTTGGAAATCACTGTTTTAAGTGCTTTCCAAATGGCCTGGTGAGGGAGGTGATTCCAGATATGTTTTCAAATGGTGCTGTGGGTACAACCAAACCATGATGAGGATGAATGATAAACCTAGGGGCTTGGAGCCACATATGAGCTAATGTAATCCAATGCAAACAAGTGGTCCAAACACCAATGGCAGTATATGCTATACGTATACCAGACAGGCAGACAGTGCTACAGTTGTCACAGTCTATAGATAGCAGAGAGCAAACGACCTTCATGTGTCCTGATCTTGTAACACCGGCATGCAAACCCATCCCCAAGGGAACCTACTGTATATATGTACCTTTTTTTGTGAGTTAACTGACCCTACTCTATGTGTCACTCTGAGTATAAGTGTCCAAGGTGAATGGGAGCTGTGGTATCATCTTTGTTTCTGTTTAAATACTAATCAGCCATGGCACCGCGGTGGCAGAAAAACATCCACAGAAACCTAATCAGCTGCAGACACTTTTCCACTCCTGCTGTTATACGTTTTGCTCGTGGTCAAAGGGGGAATTGTGCTCTCTAAAGCTCATATCAGATAGTTGAAACTACAGACTTCGATATCAGAAGAAGAAAAAAAACTCAGATCATGCAAAAAACAAAAGACATTCGAAGTTGAAACTAAATTTATACTCAAAATATTCCAATTTTAATTTTGACAAAAAAATCAAAAAAATTGACAAAAATCTATAATGTCAAATGTGTTGCGCACATCATTAATACATTCTATATGCATGCATCTTATTTGTGATAAAAATAACGGCCTGGTCATTTTTCTCCGCGTTTATAAACCATCTGTCAGTGTTTTTGTCCGTTTGGTCTAATTCTTGTAACAAACACCCCCACGCTCGTTGATTAATCTTCCATCTCTTTGTGCTGAAAAGCTGGACGAGGGAGCCGTGTGTTGAGTGCATCAATGAGTGCCAGACATGGATATTGTAACAGACACCTGGAGGGGGGGGGGGGGGCCCTGTCCCATTACGCGCCATGCTAGGCGAGGTCAGGTTTAGCGGATGTTCTTTCATGCCTTGCCTGAATTAAAGATAAACACTTCTCTACAGCTGCCTTTTGTTCCAGCACTTACTATAAATAGGTGCATTTTGACTAGCTGTCTACGGGTAACTCTGTCTGCCCTCAATGTGTTGCCCTTTGTCCCCCCGGTTCCATTGCTGCACCTCAGTGAAGACTCACTCAGAAGCTCGAGATGTTATCTTAAACATTTCCCTCAGCCTTTGTGTAGGTCACGATGTATGCTGCTGAAGGAGTACTGAAGTTCAAAGTTGATTCTAGTAGCTTTTATATTGGAAAGAAAAGCCACGTTTGTACAACTTTCTGAAGCCTCTTGATTTGACTGCAGCTTGTTTAATACCACTAGCTCATAATTCAGTAAGGTTCAGAGTGTAATTGAATGAAGTACCAGAAGAGAGGCAGCAACATTTTATAGCTTATCAACTTAACCTTGAATAAGAGGAAGCAAGCAGCTATAAATGTAACCGGGTTTTCTCTCAAGATCATCTTAAAGGCTTTAAAAATCAATCAACAACCCGCAAGAAGATTTCAAAATGTACGAACATCATTAAAAGCCAACCACATAGAACTTAAACACCCCTTTCAATGCATCTTCAAGAAACCAGTTAAAGCTAATTATCAGCACGCTGCAGCCACATTGAGCAGAGAGCATTTCCTCCGTCTAAAACTTCACTTACTGATCAGGGAAATCCCTACTGTCCCACCCATGACCAACAGCATCATGGAAATGAACAGTGCTTTAATATTAACAATTACTCCAGTGTGTCATTGGGGAAGCTGAATCACATTAAGTCATTTTGAATTTTGAATCTTTAATTTTGACTTTTTATTGTATTCCCTTTTTGTTTGCAATCTTTGCTCTTTGCTGCTGTAACAATGTAAATTTCCCCGTTGTGGGATAAATAAAGGATTATCTTATCTTATCTTATCTTAACTGAGCAGACTTAAAACCATAGGTTGGTGTTCTGTGCTTTCAAGTGACTAACACATCTTAATCAAATTTAATGACCTATCTATGAGTCTACCAGGTTGTTTTTGATGCAGACTTTTTTCTGAGTCCCCTGTGAGACTACACACTCCTACGCTGCAAGTCCAAGAATATGTTGGTGTTAAAAGCCTGTTTGTTTAAAAATATATATATATATATATATATATATATATATCACCATCTGTGTTTGTTTCTTTCTCCAAAGAGCGTCTGATAACTCTCTTTCCCTGCGTCGCCCTCTCTCCTTTTTCAGGAGCACTGCCCGCTAGCTTGGGGGAACATCAACTTGTTCGACTACACTCACACTCTGGTGGCCAACAAGATGGCTCTGAACCTCTGGCCTGTCCCTCATGGCCTTGAAGACCTCCTCAATCCCATAGGAGTCACTGGATCCAACCCTAATAAGGTATTCAGATTCAACGTCTTTTACATAATCTCTTTCGCTATCTCTGCTCTGTTTCATTTGTGGACTGCGGAGGACGCTGCGGGAAAGTTGCAAGCTTCCCTGATTTCACTTTGATTTTACACCTTATGATAAGATCCTTCATCTCTCATTTGTAGGAAACCCCGTGTCTGGAGCTGGAGTTTGACCACTTTAGTTGTCCAGTCAAGTACCCGGATATGAATGCAGTGGAGGATCATGCAAACTGGACCATCTCGCGGGAACTGGGGTTTAACTACAACCTCTCTGGACAGGTAATAACTTGCGATTTTTTGCCTCTGCGCTTGCTGGAGGACATGTCTTCTTCTTTTCTGGTTAGCCTTCTGTTTGTCAAATTCGCATCTCCTCCACATCTCAAAGACTTTCTAGGGGAATATCTTTCAATTCAGCACCGATGCTCGCAGATTACATGCACAGGACCTGATTCGATTTTTGTGTTCAAAGGTAAAACCAATGTCCTTCAAGTTAGTCTAGCACTGCAAAGGAATTACATAGAGTCTTCTCCAGAGAATAACATCATTGTTAAAATATTTTCAACATACAAGCAGACATATCCCCATCCCCCTCCCTGGCTGTAGTTACAATCAATTTGAAACAAGATGGATTACAATGTAGAGACCCCCAGAAGCCTTATCTCAAACTGAAACACTGAAAAACACGTTGTTAAAGTGAGTTCTCAAAGAAGGGAGATTTTGGGTGGTAGACGATGAGTTAGTTGCATGACCTTAGGAGCTTGTGCAATGAAGAAAAAAAAGGAGCAGCACAAAGCAGTGAATGAGTTTTCATTTAGTCCGTTTGTAGAAACAAAGGGGCAGGACAAGCTGCTGTGAGAAGAGAGGTGCCTGTTGGTGTGTGTGTGTGTGGATAAGTACGTAAAAGAAGTAAGCTGTGCAGATTTAATTATTAACATTTATATATAACGTACCCAACCTTACAGTCCAACTCTACCACCCACGTTCTATGGGAAACACTTTGTAGTACAGAAAGTGTGTGTATAGAGTACTTTAAAGGACGAGGTAAGTTACTCATGAAGGTGTTTAAATCTTTTTTACACCCTGCCCTTTATAGCGAGAGAAAATTTGACATTTATTTATGAAGCCCTAATGCAAGGTGTAGTATCGTTGTTTAAAGCATCACATTTAATGACACCATCCGGTAAATGAGTGGTGACTGTGGTGTTTATGTAAACAGATGCATGTTGTGTAAGATGCCATGCGTGTTTATATTTCAGTGTTATTTATGAATTAGTGTGTACAGTACACATCGGTGTCATTTGGTGTCTTTAAATGTAACATTGGATGTGAATGAATTTTCTTGCAGCCTTTTAGATTTTTAATAAAAGGGTTTTGTCAAAGTTGTAAGTTTAGGTTGATAAGTGATTTGATAAATAACTTATATTCGCTTGTTTTTTGACTCTGTTCATATGACTCAGGAGTGCCACTGTGCCCTGTTGTTGTTCACTTATTCATGATGGTGCTGTTGGTGCTGCCTTATCAGATTTCCTGATGATGTTTGGCACGACATCACCGCGACTTCTGATGTGAGAGGATGTGAACGGTGTGAGACGACATGTTAAGTTATTCATGATGTGTGTGTCAAATGTGACAAGTGCCAAACTAAATACACGGTGCTATGAGATACACATCATCTGACTCGATCCTGAAACTGGAAGGGTTTGATTTTGTCTCATTAAAAAAACTCAAATCTATATGGAAAACAAAGTCGTACAGTCGGAGTTGCACATTTCTTTTAGGATGATGTTTTCTCTTCTCAAAAAGGAGAAGCATAAATTAAATTCACAAACTGAAGGCGTCGTAATGGTTATAAGAGCCTTGAACTGGATGTTCACATCAGCTGGCTGCTTTGCTGTACAGCTGTGCTCCTGCTTTGTCCCACTTTTAATGTCACTTGGAAACATCTGAGAAGAGCAGTGTTTGTTATTCAGCCACTAACTTTTATAATCTAGCTAACACTGGTGTAGCAGCTTGTCCATTAATCGATTACAATGTGTCTGTTATGAACATGACAACCTTTAGTTTCTTCAATGGGCTCTTTGTCATCATCAGTCATTTTATATGATCATACAGCTGATAAGACGGTCCATCCCATGTCATTCACTTTTATGTTTCTTTATTGTGTGGTGTTATCTCAGTTCAGTGTACCTTATGCACTGATCTAGAAGTGTTGTTCAAAAGAACTGTGGTTGAAAATGTCAATAAATGATAAATACATATACAGGTTATGACTAATAAGACGATGATAGTAATGTGTTCTCTGTATCCTGAAGCTTCTCTAACAGCAACGGGCCTTAATGGATTACAACTGTTAATGCTTCAAAGTATATTGTTTCTCTAAATGACTGCATGCCTGAATGTCCAGATAAGCTAATTTTTCTTGGATTGCTAGAATTAAAAAAACTGTATTCATGCCGTAATAAACGGAGCAAATGGTACAACAGCTAGATAAAGTAAAGTGAATTATCTAGTTACAACAAATGAGGATGGCTATGAGATGAGAGAGAGTTCAGGAGGCATCAGAGTCTCTTAAAGAAAACAGCCATTAAGTTTGTTAATTGTAGTTTAATAAATAATGTAATCGTAAAGTTTTTCATTCTGTTGTATTACAGAGCAACCGTGTGGCCAGAGATCACGCCCTGACAGAGAGCGACATTGAGCAGCTGAGACAGCTGAGTAACAGGGACCCTCTTTCAGAAATCACTGAGCAGGAGAAAGACTTCCTCTGGAGACACAGGTAACCGCAACATGACTCGTACACATTTACCATTTAGAACTTACAATACTTTGTCACGTAGAAGCATAAATTATAGATGGCATATATTTCATAGGACAGGCTTGTTATTCCTGTAGCTGTGTGTGAATTTACTGCAGTGTCCCCCCCCCCTCTTTCCACCACCCCGATGATAAGCAGAGTCTGAGTCGGACTCTATCTCTTAGTGACAACTCAATCACACACACACACACACAAACGCTGCGCATTGCAAAGATGGTATAAGCAAACAAGGAGTCTCACTCGTGTCTAAAAACAAGTTTGGGAATAAAAATTGTGTCCCGATATTTTAAATTTGGTAAAAATTCAAAGAAAAACTTGATTTCTTCTGACCTTTTTTCACCTTTTAATATTATCCACTTAATATTCAGTCCCCTCATGCCCATGAAGCCTATTGTAAACTATCTTAAGTATGTCATGGGATCATTTTTAGCTTTCTAAACTTACACAGCAGAGAGGCAACACTCAAATCTTCTTAGCCTAATTCTTTAAAGACCGGATAAGAAGATATATAAAAGGAGTCACAATTTGAAATACTAAGAAAAGGACATGTGGTTCCACATCTTTTTGGTGTCCTTAGTTAATTTATTTGGCCTTTGAATACATGTGATGAGGGTAAATGAAAATAGATTGGTTTTTGTGTTGTACTGTTAAATGTAGGCTGCTGTAAAGAAAAGTAAAATAAATGTGTGGTGGTTTCGGGGACCAGGCCGTCCCCCCTAACAGATAAACCTCAGGGAAACACTGTACTGTATGATATTTGAGTAGCCCCCAACCACTTTAAATGAAAATAGATATCTGTAGGTGAAGGCTTTTTTTAGTATTAACTTGAATACATACATTATGTTCTTTAAATCTGCAATACTTTTTCTGTTATTAACAACAAACAGATTCTGCATACTTAATAAATATAAGACATAGTTTAAAGCGGGTCTGCAGCATGTATGTATGTAAAAACAACAAGGCCTTAAAACCAGGACACACAACACACAGTAATGACTGTAACCTCCGTCTGGTTGTCTACCAGGCACTACTGCATGAACATCCCCGAGATCCTTCCCAAGATCCTTCTCGCTGTCAAGTGGAACTCCAGAGATGAAGTTGCACAGGTAATTTTAAAACCATTTCATACTCTGCCTGTTATACAGCAGGCATGTGTTGTATACATATAGCACAGTTCACCTTGTAGCTGATAACAAAAGGAACACAGAAATACCTCTGTGGAAAACACTCATACTCACGTTCATACATTAGGTTTTTGAAGTAGTTTGAACTCTTTCATTAAACCTGCAAAACTTTCAACAGAACCGCGCAGTTAAACTATACATCTATTGTTTTTTTTCTAAATGTGTATTCTGTTATTATATTTATCTGTGTACACAAAGACTATTGAATGATTGTTCTTGTTCTGTGTTTCCCAGATGTACTGTCTGTTAAAGGAGTGGCCATCTATCCGTCCTGAGCAGGCCATGGAGCTGCTGGACTGTAACTACCCAGACCCCATGGTCAGACACTTTGCTGTCCGCTGCCTGGACAAATACCTGACTGATGACAAACTGTCCCAGTACCTCATCCAGCTTGTACAGGTGGGTCTCCCTCCCTGACTGACAAAAGAAAGTGGTAAAAATGAGTACATCAAGGAACTAAGACATTTTATAATCCTATTCTTATGACTGTGGGAAAGCAGCTTTTGTTTGGCCTTTTCTTTTGTGTTGAACACTGTTTTATCTGTAATCCTCCGGCTGTATTTTGAGTCATACATCTTGAAACAAGTAATCTGAACCTCCTCTCTGTATCTCCTCTTGTGCTCTTCTTCCTCCCGTACTAGGTGTTAAAATATGAGCAGTATCTTGACAATCCCCTGTCCCGTTTCCTCCTAAAAAAAGCGCTCACCAATCAAAAGATTGGTCATTTCTTCTTCTGGCATCTCAAGTGAGTCACCCGTTCAGATTTCAGATGTACCTTCCTTTCTATGTGTCGGTCTAAGAGGCTGAAAAACGCTCTCCATGCTACTCCTCTCTGTCGCCTCCTCTCAGGTCAGAAATGCACAACAAAACAGTGAGCCAGAGGTTCGGGCTGCTGTTAGAGGCTTACTGCAGGGCCTGCGGCATGTACCTCAAACACCTGAGCAGACAGGTAGAGGCCATGGAGAAGCTCATTAACCTCACTGACATTCTCAAACAGGAGAAGAAGGACGAGACGCAGAAGGTAAGGAGGCTAGAAGCACTAACACAGAAACACACACAAGTGCATGAATAGGCTTCATTCACTCATAGTTTGTGTTTGCACACAATGTCCTCCATATCTTCTGTTTGCTGTCAAAGCCAAAAACATTTGATTTGCTAAGAGACACCTGAGCCTCACTTGCTTCCTAACATACTGTGGTCACTTGTAGCATAAACTGTTACTTAAATACAAGAATGCAATAATAACAAATCGTAAAAAAATGCATGCCCGCATGACAGAATTTAAATATTTAGATTAGAAACTGTTTCTCATAAGAAAAGTTGTCTGTCATCATGCAAGTTAGACATTATTTACATATGAATTTATAATGAAGACAAAGCACACCCCTCTGTGCACGTGAAGGAGCCTGATTTTGCCCCCCCGAAAAAAGCAGTTTAATGCCACCCCGGAGGGAAAAAACTATTTTTTTTTTTAACCAGGTTTATAAGAGAAGGCAGATTATTTTGTTTGGACCAGGCCATAAAACAACCGTTTGATTTTTATGGGATTAAACGTTTTACCACTGTGACTAACCTGCTGTCAGTGATTTAAAAACTCATTTGGGTTTGTGGCTTTCGTACATGACACATAAATTAAATACACAATCACATTAAAGTCTTTAAATGTGATTTTCACACTTAAATATAATATAAATCAAGTTATCCTCTGAAAATAACTCTGTGAGTCATGACTGTCTACAATGGGTGTAACACCCGAGTCCCACTGTCTGTGATGTTTTCAGAGTTTTCAGAGTCCTATCTTCACTTTGTTTACATCGCCAGGACGGCCGGCTGACTCCTCCCCTCGTGTATAAAAGTTGTTTAATTGAGGGACTAGAGAAAAGAAGAATAACATACTGTACTCACTGCTTAACTGTGTTTCTAGATCACGCTCATTTCAGGTAAATTTACATGCAGTGTGAAGATACAAGCATAATAAAGATCGCTAGCATTAGCATGCTAACACAACAATGCACCGCGAGTTGTTTTGGTTTCATGCTGGTGCTCAAGGGCGACATCTGCTGGATCAAAAAATCACATATAAAGTCACCAGTAAATGTCACTATTGTGCCGGTTGTCAGTTCAATCAAAACTTAGTTAAAATGATAATTTACCATCAGAGTGATAACACTCACGCTCATGTACTGTAAATGCAGAATGAATGTTTATATTGTTATGTGTGTGTGTCTTGTGCAGGTGCAGATGCGGTTTCTCGTGGACCAGATGAAGAGACCGGACTACATGGATGCCTTGCAGAACTTCACCTCTCCCCTCAACCCTGCACACCAACTCGGAAACCTGAGGTTGGAAGCTGTTGTGAATGAGCGGTGGTTTTGATATACTTTACGGTTGTTTAAAAAATATATCTAGACGCGGTCTGATTAATGTGTGTGCAGGTTAGACGAGTGCAGGATCATGTCATCAGCGAAGAGACCATTGTGGCTGAACTGGGAGAATCCTGACATCATGTCTGAGCTGCTCTTTCAGAACAATGAGCTAATCTTCAAAAATGGAGATGGTAACACACACACACACACACACACACGCTCATGAATAGCCAAATCCTGTTAGCCTTGGTTTTGCTATAAATCAGTGTGAAACCAAATATCTTTAACAATATGTGATTAAATTTGTGTCATGTTCTGCAAGTTGAAGAAACATTTAAAGGAAAACCCACAACAGGGACAAGATTTCACAATATTGTAATCTATAAAGTAAGAGCGTTACAAATTATCTTCAGTTTCACTAAAGCATCTTTTTCCACACTAATGCGTGTAAACACAAACATATGAGTGCAGCTCAGTAGTTCAGGTTGTCCATTCCTGCGGTTTTGGCTGCTCAAAATTGTGCTAAAGTAAAAACCTTGAATGAGGGAACAACTTACGTCTTCACATATTCAAACTTGTTTTTCTCCCTCCTGTCTCCATATGGCATCGAAAGAAACTTGTTATCTTTGTTTGCACTGAATGAGCTGTTGACTTTTTCCTGTGTGCGGTACAAAGCAGCACAGCATATTTACAGTTCTCAGTGCTAAATGATGACACAAACAGTGAAGTGCTGTTAGAGGCATTTAGCTGTTTAGTTTACTGTTTGTGTTTTATCTGCCTGTATGCTGAGAAATGATTAACTCTGTTCATGATTTTGCGTTTGTGTTGTAGACTTGCGGCAGGACATGCTGACGTTGCAGATTATTAAAATTATGGAGAACATCTGGCAGAATCAGGGACTGGACCTGCGGTACTGCTCACTCTTTTTCTTTTTAAATCTCAACCTATGTTTCTCTTCCTCTCTGCACCATCGTTCTGCTTCAGCCTCTTTGATCTCCTCCTCTGTCCTGCCCCAGTGCATGGAAGCTAAGAATATCTCATTTGTGTGTTTTTCTTCCTCAGGATGCTCCCCTATGGCTGTCTGTCATTAGGAGACTGTGTGGGTCTCATTGAGGTGGTGCGCAGCTCCCACACCATCATGCAGATTCAGTGTAAAGGAGGCTTGAAAGGAGCGCTGCAGTTCAACTCAAACACTCTGCATCAGTGGTTAAAGGACAAGAACAAGGGCGAGATGTGAGTGCTTATTTTTCCATCATCTTTGCATCATTAATCAGAGTAGAGCAGAGTGCAGAACGTGTCACTGTCAAGAAATGTCTTCAGGATAATCTGCTATAGTATAGAGTCCATAAATATATATGCCTTTCTTAAATTTAATTTAAATGCTTTATTTAACAAGGTGTGAAACATTTACTCAATCTAATGTGTTTCCTTTTAGACTACATATCTAATATCTATCTTTTAAATCACTTCTTCAAACTCACTTTTATAGACTTGCTTTTATGTGATTTCTCCTTTAAAGATCTATCCCTTCCTTTTATTAATTTTATTGCTTTTAACCTTTTTATCTTTCTCTTCTTTAAATGTTTTAGCCTTTAAATATTTCCCTTCCTGTATTACTTTTACTGCTCTTAGTCTTTTTAAACTCCTACTCCTTCTATCGTTTAACTCTTCAGCTCTCTGTTGCTTTATTCATTTAACCAATGTCCTGTTTATCTCTTCTTTTTATCTTCATTCTGTGTTTACAGCCTGTGATGTGATGTCATCCCACTCTCCATCAATTTTAATTTTGTTGTCTCCTGATTGATTTTAAACTAATTTTCCTTCATTGTACTGAACTGCCTCTCCATACCTGCCTGTTGAATCTTATTCCTGTTATTTACATTTATAATTTTACCCACTCTGTTGATCTCTGTTCTGTTGTCGTGTTGCTGTATTTGCTCTGTCTGTCACAGCACTTTGTAAACATTTGTTTTTAAAGGTGCTATATAAATAAATTCATTATTATTATTATTATTATTATGTAGTGTTGTCTTACTTGAGCTTGTATCTATGCAGGTATGACATGGCTGTGGATCTCTTTACGAGGTCCTGTGCTGGCTACTGTGTAGCTACATTTATCCTGGGGATTGGAGACAGACACAACAGCAACATCATGGTCAAAGATGACGGACAGGTAACTTATATATGCACACAGAAACCTGCTCAAGGATCTTGGTGTGTTTGACATGAACAATTTCAGATATACAGGAATGGACCTAATGCACAAACATGTTTACAAAATAACTAACCTGCACAAGATTTAAATGATACCCTGATATCAGAGAAGTGCATTTAAGACCTGACTGGTTATGGAAGTTGTCACTAAGTAAGCAATTCAAGTTTCATTATGTGAATGTTTGTTGGTCAAAAATGAGCAGTACCAGAGTGACCTAGTGCAGTGGTTCTCAACTGGTGGGTCGGGACCCAAAAGTGGAAAAGAAAATTGTGTCCAAAAGTCTATGAAGCCCTTTTTAAACATTTTTGTTCTGTCACATGTTCTCTGCAGCGTCTGAGGTCCAATTGCACAATTTTTCATTAGATGAATCTAATTGGTTAAATAGTTGATTGTATCACATATTTGGGTCGTGATTGTTCATGAAGGAATTGTTGGTGAGTCCTGAGGCTCGAACAGTTGCGAACCACTGGTCTAGTGGTTTGTTTGGCGTGCACCATGTACAAAGTCAATAGTCGCTGTTGCAGCAGATAATACCCCTGCAGATCGTTAGCAACTCTCTCTTTCTCACATTTCCTGTCTCTCTTCATCTGTCCTATCCAATAAAAGCAAAAAAAAAAGAGCAACATCAAGACTCAATACTTTGCTTTGTTCTGTAAAAGAGCTTGATATCCACGGTGAAAGATTGGGGTTGATGCCTTTGGTTTTCCTGCGGGTGTACAGAATATACGTTAGACGTCAGAGAAGAGGAAATGTATTTGTGAGTAAGAGTTCCTAAACTTTGACTTCCTGCTTTCATCTTTGTTTTGCTCTCCCCCCAGTTGTTCCACATAGATTTTGGTCATTTCCTGGATCATAAGAAGAAGAAATTTGGCTACAAGAGGGAGCGAGTGCCCTTTGTACTGACACAAGACTTCCTCATTGTCATCAGCAAGGGATCCCAGGAGTGTGCCAAGACCAAAGAGTTTGAGAGGTACCGCAGCATCTGTTCTCTTTCTGCTTACTCATCAAATGTTTCTCTTTATTTCTGTCTGCTACTAACAAATACTGCGCTAACAAAGCTTAGCTAGGTGTATTTTTTGAGTCATAACTATTTACCTTTTTTTTGGTAAATCTGGAGAGAAAGAAAAAAATGGTTTCTATTTAGAGAATTATGAACTGGAAACAGAAAAATTCAAGCACAAGATTTTCTTGGCTCACTTCCCTCTGTTGGTTTAAGTTTACGCTCAACATGCCCGACTAACCCAACCATGAGAAGTTCCTTGAGCACTCAGTGAGAGCCTTTTTAGAATCAGAATCAGAATCAGGGTTTATTGCCAAGTACGTTTACACATACAAGGAATTTGACTTGGTGTCTTGGTGCTAAACAATTAACAGGGAAATAAAGCAGAACTAGCAACAACTTAAATAATACAGTATAAGAAGATATTACAATATATTAAATAGAATTTTAAAATGTAAAATGTAAAATGTAAAATATAAAATATAAAAAATAAAAAACACAAAATGTACAATTTTGTATCACTGCCTTACTGTGAAAGAGAAAGAAAGAAAGAAAGGCACAGAGGAAAAAGACAGAAAGAAAGAAGAAAAGGTAAAAAAAAAAAAATACAATGAAATAAATAAATTGGTAAGCATCCTTCTTGGTCTATGGCACATTTTACCCAATTTGAATCATTCAATCTGTAATTTTCAGCGTAAGATAATTTTTCTTGATACCTTCATTTTCTTGACAAATTCATCTTATTGCATACATTTAAGACTTGAAAATTACACATGAGCTGAGTGTGACAAGGAAGTTCCCGGGCGACTTGTCTTCTTCAGATGTCAGATAGATGACATGCACAGTGTTTGGTTTTTCATTCTCACGTTTCCCTTTTCCCCCTCGCCCCTCCAGGTTCCAGGAGATGTGTTATAAAGCTTACCTGGCGATCAGGCAGCATGCTAACCTCTTCATCAACCTGTTCTCCATGATGCTGGGCTCTGGCATGCCTGAGCTGCAGTCATTCGATGACATCGCTTACATAAGGAAGACGTTGGCTCTGGAGAAAAGCGAGCAGGTAATAATGTTTTTTTTTCCGCTTTGCTCATATTTCCTTTTTCTCTCTGATTCTATTCTGGGGGTCTTAAGATACCGTCAGGGTCCAGACGTTGCCTTCAGAAGCCTCTCCTACATTATCTAATTATAAATCTGTTTTATCTTTTTTGTCTGCTGAGTGCAGGAGGCGTTGGACTACTTTATGAAACAGATGAACGATGCTCACCATGGAGGATGGACCACCAAGATGGACTGGATATTTCACACAATAAGACAGCATGCACTAAACTGATCTACTACACACAATCCCCCCCCCAAAAAAAACACACCACTACCACCATGGAGGATTCGCTTCACCCAACAGCTGTTCGTCTTACACCATGACACACTGGTCTTTCAAGGAATTTCAGTTCTCTGTTGAAGCAGAAAAACCAGCTTTCACTCCTTTTTTTCTTTTTCTTTACACCAGCACGATTTGTGTTTTAAAAAAAAAAAACGAGGTTTCTGTTTTTCTGTCTCGTCTTGAACATAATGTCTTGCAATCGTCATCGCACCCTTTTTTGAAGACGTGACCTACCTGTGCCGATGACTGGCTATGCTTCCTCTTCTTGCCAACAGGAACAAACTGTGTGGGAGACTGTTGTCCTGCTACTCCTGCAAAAAGGAAATTGAGATGACAGTGTGAAGATCTGCCGATTTAAAAAAATGTAGCCACAAAGTATGTCCATCTTGCTGCTCTTCTGCTCTATTAGTGCTGCACTGTGTGGCTCCACCCAAAAGGAAGAGGTGCTGGGAAACTTTTATTTTATTTTAATGACATCGTCTTACATCTGACATCACTGCTGAGAAGTCAGAGGGCACAAGGAACCGTCAAAACTATCAACATATAATCCAGGAGTTCCTCCACTTTATGCAGGATTGCTGGAGTATAGAAGCCTCTTTGTGGACCTCCACAGTCTTCCACCATCTCTCTGGTGAAGATACCACGTCCTGACCGGATCCAGTGTCCAGCTCGCCCATCTTTTTGAGGAAATGTAAAAGCTCAACATCTTTGCAAGAAGAGTGTCTGTGTTCGCTTGGCACAGCGCTGCACTCTCCAACAGCCTCGAGGAAAAAAAGCACTCCACCACTTGGGAACATTTTTGTTGTTGGTGCAGCGTAGGACTTCAGGTGATGATGCTAACTCTCCATCATCAACAACAACAACAACAACAACAAAAAAGACAGCACATGAAGATAACAGAATAATATACTGACTTTATTATGACTTTGTACATTTATTTATATATCTAGTTTGCTTTGGTTTCTACACAGGTAAGACTCAGCCCTCCAGATACACACACTATTGTGGAAGTATATTTGTAATTTTCTTCCTTTTACTTTCTTTTGACCAGTTGCACCCCTGTTTAGTCAGTCTGCTGATGCCTTTTTAGCCTGACGACACAGCTTGGTTTAACTTTTCATTTGACTCTATTCAAAGTGGTTTTGTTGGGCCTAGTTTGCAGTCCTACTTGGAATTGGGAAAACAATTTTGTTTGGGGGATGCAAAATGACAAAAGTGCCATTCTTAAATGTGATGAATATTGGGACCTATTTGAAGCCTCTGGCTGTCTGTTTCGACTGTGAGCACAGACCCAGGGGAATGTCACGTCTTCCTGTTGATAAAATGCCTTTGGCCTCACAGCACAAAACTCCACAACGACGCACACTGTCCGCCCCCCCACAAACTCTCCCCTAACAAACCGTGACGGCACTATATCATTTCTAAATTTAGATTTAAGCCATATCATTTCCAGTTTGATTTCCAAACATTCAGCAGTCCATCATTTGAACATGTTAGTTCATTTTATGGATATATTCATCACTGAGCCCATAACCCTGTCACTGGTGTCATGCTTCCTGTTGCCTGGTCCTGTTGAAGCTATGTTATACACCAAGTCGTTAATCAAACAGTGCATGTTGGCAAGATTTGAAGACACTGATTTTTAACAAATTGTTCATCCATCCATCCATATCCAGACGTACATACACATGCATACCACGTTAAGGGTCGCAGGGTGGGGTGCACACCGGACTGGTCCAAATCGTTAAAGTATTCAAAAATCCAGATGTGAAGGTGTGGATGACTTCTGTATTTAGGACAGGACGTCAGTGTGTGGATGTGAAGTGGATAGATGAAACCTCAACTAAATGTTTTTTTTGAAACTTGTCCTCTGTAGTTTGAACCCGGTCCTTCAGGGTGCCATGGTCCCCCCTCAAAAAGTTTTGTGCTCACAGCAGTTTTTTCAGGGTCAAAAAGTTGAAATCAATCATTTTCAGCGTACAAATGTTTAAGACATGGAAACCTTTGCCATAAAATGTGTCGACACAAAAAGTTTTCATGACATTTGATTGATTTATAGCATTGAGCAGCTTTTGAAACGTTAACCTCCTTTTTGTTGTTTTGCACTTGAATGCACTGATAGCTCTTTCCGGTCTCTTACAGTGTTAGTGAACATGGCATCCTGGAGACATAGAAAAGATCTGCTACTGTGAGCCACAAGCAGACTGCCTAGTGCAGTTTCATGTGATGGGGGAGTTAGCTGATCGTTAGAATCATAAGCCACTGGGTTAATTTATGTAAAATGTTATAAAGACAAAGAGGATTTTGATACAGAAATACTTAAACATGCATTTTGTTTAAAGCAGATCATAGCTTGTTGAACCTTAGATGGATTGTAAGGGAATGTTTTTTTTTTTTTTTTGTGTTAATCCAGGAAATATCACAACTTGAATTCAGTGCAGAAAATCTTGTATTCTGTGGTTTGCTGAGGACAGAAGGAAGCATTTAGCAAAACAAGGTGCCTCAGAGCAGCCTCATGAGCCCCCCTCCCAACATACCAAGGTAACTTTTAGATAGTAACCCCTGCAGTATGAAACTCAATCTGCTAGTGCAACAGAAAGTCTGCACTTTGCAAAATCAGATATTGATTGTATGGAAAAGCCAAAGTTGGGGGGGGTCTGTTCTGACAAGGTGTTGGATGTCCTATTAATGCAGCATTTATGGCTTGAATGTATTTCATTGCAAAACTTGTGCACTCACGTTTTTTGAATCGTCCATGTTTTCTCTCTGACGTCAGATGCAGTGCCATGAAATGAAACTGTAGGTTTTCAGTCCTGTTCACTTATCTTTTATGTGCCAAATCGGGCGTCACTGAGGCCCCGTGAAAGCTAATGCTGGAGTCACAACTTTCTAGTTCAGAGACTAGGAAAAGACAAAAAAATGAAAGAAATGTTGGTTGAATGCACTTAAAAATCTGAGTTCTCAGAGGAGGACTCCGTAGGAAGAGAGTTAGCTTAGCATGCATGTTTCTCAAGCAGCACTTAGCAGTATGTATGATGAACACGTTGAAGCAGTATGTCCAGTTACAGTCAATCGTCTTTTCCTAGTGTGTGTGTGTGTGTGTGTGTGTGTGTGTGTGTGTGTGTGTGTGTGTGTGTGTGTGTGTGTGTGTGTGTGTGTGTGTGTGTGTGTGTGTGTGTGTGTGTGTGTGTGTGTGTGTGTGTGTGTGTGTGTGTGTGTGTTTCATTGTCTCTGTACGGGTTGCAGAGCTTCGTTGGCGGGCCCCAATGAGCACCATGTCTGTGTGTGTGTGTGTGTGTGTGTGTGTGTGTGGTCACACTGAAGCGCTGAAATGGTGGTGTCACTAAATGTTTTGTATGCCTTTATTTTGGAAATGTTTTTCACACATACGTTGTCAATATTTTACTTGAAGAGTCATGAATCAGAACCACAGCTCCACTGTGTGGGTTCAAAGGTCGAGCTCGGGGTTTGTAGGGTCAATTTAGTTCCGATTGTGAGTGCAGGTATTATATTTAAGCACCGAAGGTTGACGTATACGAGCCATTAACATTTCAGCATGAAGATACTTTTAATGAAGTGACAAAGTTTAACCTCAGCTAAAAGGTGCAGTTAGAGCTTTGACAGGAACTTACAGGATAAAAAGAAAATCAAGTAATCTTGAACTTCATCCTGAAAATGAAATACAACCTCCATCTCCTGTTAGCGATAGTTCTCACATTGTTCAGTTTTTTTTTTTTTTTTAAAAGGTCACCTGCTCCCCACGTTTGGTGCAGTATCAGTGCAGGGTCTCTGTAATAATCGTTGCACTAGTTTTACCCTCTTTTTGTGACAGTCCAAAATCCTAACAATGAAAACACACACCCATGTTTTTAAAATCTGATCATTAAAATGCTCGGTGTTGACTTCACGAGTCAACAACCTGCAGGAGATTTAGATTCACATGTTGAGATAAAATAATTGTTCCTGCCTTTTTATGAAGTTAGGTGAAGGTTTCATTTCAGCCCCTGATGTGTGCAGTTAAACAATATAATCTGTGATGTTTAACAAAAAGATGCATGTGTTCATTCTAAGATGCTTTTTTTTTTTTTTTTTTTTTTGTTACTGTTTGTTCACCTGATGGAAAGGTGTGAAAAATGAATTGCGTCCACCACCTGTATAAATCTAGACCCTGATAGTTCAACAATTTAGCTACATCTTTTTTTTTCTTCTTCTATAAAGCACTGAACGAAGTGTGTTGTTATGAAGCCTTAGAATGTGTTTTTACACACGATGAATGTTGAGGGTTACAAACTCTCCACCTTGCAGAAAAATAATCATCGCATCAAAATGCAAACCATTGACATCACTGATAATTTGTGGTTATTATTCAAGGTCCCTGAAATTTCTAGTTTTAAAAAAGAAGACTGCTTTCATGCCCTCTTTTTTTTTAATGCAGTGCTCCTGTGTGTCTAATATATTTCCACAACATGCCATGCTGTCAGAACTTTAACCTATACTATGAATGAATGTACAACGGGCCAACGTAATGTTTTCCACAGCCTCCCTGCATGACACCGGGTAAAGATGAACATCTGTCCTTTAGCTCCATGTTTCTTTATCGAGTTTGCCAAGCAGCCATACAGATGTTTCTATAAATGAATGCCTTAAGTTTGCCCCCCAGTAGGAACAGTTTCATACAATAACCTGTGTTTTTTTTTAATTTATTTATTCATGTTACTTGTGTTTTGGTTTCCTGGTCACAGAGTAAAGACTGACTGGTCATCTGAGTGTTCTGTGAAGATGTACAAATAAATTTGTTAAACATTCACCAGGCTGTGTTTGCTTTTAGACGCTCTTTCTGTTGGACTATAAAGCAGCACATTATCTTACAACCTGACATGTTGCTTACTCGAGATCTTAACTAATTCCTCAGAGATGGAAACAGGCTTAGTCTGACTCATCAGGTAGGGCCACAGTGAGCAGCCCATTGTTTTTTTCTGTATATCATCAATAAATGGGTCCGTTGTCACAAGAAACTGAAGATAAATTAATCTGTTTTTGGTTACAATTGGGGAAACCAGCTTTTTTTAAATCTCAAAATTACTACATGAATAAGTCGGCATCTTAAAGTCTTTAAGGAAAGAACATGAAAGGACTCGTAATCACAGGAAAGTAGATAAAGTCGACTGTATGGATGCATGGCTGCGTAGGGCTTCTGTACATCCTTGATATAACTCTATGGACTATCTTAGTTCAAAACATGAATTTATAAAATAGGATTTTTTTTCATTTATTTACCCAGAATAAGACAAAAACTGTCAGGCATGTCAACTAGACTTCACTGGAAACAGCTTTCTACTCGGTTTCATGCTGAAGTTTCTTTTCTCAGTCTACCTTTTGAGGTGATTCTGATTCTTTATCAATTTGAAATTAACTTCTTCAGCATGAACAAAACTATAAATATCATTATATGGTTGAAAGAAGTCACTTTGTTAGGGGAAGTCATGGGAAATCAAATCGGGGGGGGGGGGGGGGGGGGGGAACAGTGTGTCCTTTTTTATGATTTAAAACAGCTTTTGTTATTCTGTGTGAAAGAGGATGATGATGATACAGAAAGGAACAAAACAACAAGAAACAGAACAAAGTTTTATTTTGTTTTCTTGAATATTCTTCCTGATGAGGATGACAGACTTTCAATGTACTCTTCTTTATTTCTCACATCTTGTTTACTCCACAAAGGGCAGTTAAATGTGTATTACTTAGATTTTTCACTTTATATGATAACAGTGCAGAGCTTTATCATCACGTCAGTCTTTTTCTTTTTCTCTGAGTGTGCTACAATGTCCAAAATATGTTGCTTTTGTATTTACTTTTCTCCTTTGCTTGCTATTTTATCAACGTGACTGTTGTAGTTTAAAATCTGTGCAACAGCTTGGAGGACGCAACTCAGTCTAATGCAGAATGGTCTACGAAATAAAATAAAAAAGAATCAGCTGTGAGAGCATGACAAGTGAGATTATTTTGAATATAAATGAGGTTCCCTGGCGGAAAAACTTTATGCAATCAGGTCGGTATCTTTCAATCCCTCCACGACTTCAGGAGCCTTTGTAGGACCTGCGGACATCGCAGGTTCGATGGGATTGAACGGTTTCCAGGGCTCGGATGGGCAGTGGAAGAGGTTTGCGCTCGTAAAATTGGGGGAGGCGGTGGGTTTTGAGGTCTTGGTGTCCTCCTCAGATGACTCTTTGACGGTTTTGTGTTGAGACGGCGCGGTTGGATTAATTGGAGGTGGGGTAGTAGAGGGTTTTTCAACTCTTCTGAGTGGAGACCAACCAGGAGGACGACGCCTGGTGAACTCCTGGAGAGAAAACACAACAGTATGCAAAATGAACGGGGGAACCGGACCTCACTTTACATTCACTAACTGTGCAGTTATTAGCTGTACCTTTTAAAATGTCAAAGACAATAAAGGAGGGAAATCTCATCCGAACATATAACTAACTTTTCACTCGTTTTTGCATGCCTGTCTCAGTTCTAAAATCCAAACATGAACTTTGTTTGCTGTTCCTTGTGACCTGTTTTTCTGCTTTTGTAACATCCAGTGAAACATATTTGTGTCAGTTATTATAACATGTGTCTTCTTTATCAAATAATGAATCATTAATCAGATAGGTAAATACTTGAAAATACTGTAAATTCTGAAGGAAATCTAGCAATCTAGGGATGTGCTAGTTGACTAACAATATAGTTATTAACTTGTCTTGGTCGACTGAAAACCCAGAAATGAATAAAGAGAGATAGGACTGAAATCAGAAGAAATCTCTCAATATGTTTGATTCTGTTTGGAATTCAAACTTTCGACTGTAATGTGCACTTTCAAAATATCACAACCCAAGGGTGAAAGCAAATGAAATCGCTGCTCGCTTACAAAACAGCGACAAAAACGTCTCCTCCTCACTTTAACTCTCTGATCCAGGTCTACACTCCCTCCCCCCCCACTACGCTCTGCCAATGAAAGGCGTCTGATCCAACTTTCACAACAGGGTCCTAAGACGCTGACTAGACTCTTCTCCTCTGTCGCCCCCCGGTGGTGGAATGAACTTCCAAACTCCATTCAATCTGCAGAGTCCCTCTGCACCTTTAAGAAAAAGTTAAAGACCCAGCTCTTTCATGAATACCTACTAACTTAATGATGATGGTCTCCATATTATTGATGATGATGATGGTAATGACGATGGTTTTTGTTTGATAACGACGACTTATAAGATGGTTTCTATACTGATTAGAGCTCTCAAGAACTGCCCTCAATGTTGTGCTTTGCCTCTGGTCACTTCCTGTCAGCACCTGTGTGTCCAATCAGACTCAAAGCTGATCGTTTGCTCTTACTGACATTGTTCCCTTTTTTCTAGATCCTTGCTTGTGTTGTTCTTACTCTCTGATGTACGTCGCTTTGGGTAAAAGAGTCTGCTAAGTGAATTGTAGAATTGTAGAAAAATGGAGAAGCTGACAATATGTTAGGGCTCTGGGTTTAGAGTAGCAGGCCCCAGCTGATTGGCCACCATGGACTTTTAGTATTAAAAATATCTGGGTAAAGTTCAAAAGAGTAAAACTGGAGTTCTTGATCCTTCCCACTGGACGGTGATACTTTAAAGGCAGACATGGATTTGAAATCGTTGCATTTGACCAGGTTTGACATCGTTAACAGACAAGGATGCGTTGAGGCTTGATATGAGGATTCAGTGTAAATCTTGCAGACTGTGTTTGTGAAAAGTTGGTCTCACCACTGGAGGCATTACTCCTGCGTCACACTCTATGTTGGCCTGTGGGGGCTCGAGTCTCCACGGTGCTACATCCACTGTAGAGTTACAGTAAGCAAACTCC